GCAGCCCTGTGCCACGTGCTCTAGGTGACCCTGCGTGAGCAGGGGGGTTGGACTCGATGACCTCTGAGGTCCCTTCCAACCTTCGGCATTCTATGATTCTRTGATTCTATGATTTCCCTCAGTCTGATATCTCCCTCATTGCTTCCATCTTCCTTCAGCTTCTTCACTACCTTTATTGTACAGAAGCAAAGTTTTTTCTTGTTAATGACTCCTGCTGACTGGCTGCAGTTTCTGCAGCTGCTTTAAGACAGGTATGTGATCGGATAGACACTGAATTAATCAAACTAATCAAAATTCATATCTGTATATAAAGAGATTCCCCAAATTGTCATAACAYATTAGCACATACTACATTGTTATGCCATTAGATAATAATGTGTATGTCATTTTGCAGTTATTTGTTTACAAGTTAATATTTGATTAGTGGATGGTAAGTGTAGTATTTCTTATATATAGTGGTCTATATAAAAAAAGTCTGTGGAAGGAAAGAAAGGAGTAATGTAAAAGTTTAACAAGTTTCTATAAAGGCTGCTTTAAAAACATATATAGTTAAGCAGAGAACAATTGCTTTGTGAAAGCATGTAGTTTATTCACTTTTAATCATTCAGATTCTATGGCAGATATATTTTAAAGTTTTGCATTATATTGCAAAAAGAGACCCTAAACCCAAAAATCTATCAGATGCCTTTTTTTTTTTCTCTTCCCTAAAACTGAAGCTCTGGGGATCATGTAATCTCAGCTTTCATTTGAAAAAAGAGCAAGTCTGGTTATCTAATAAGGGGGGAGAAAAAAGAAAGTACATCTGGGCAATGTGCATAGTAAGAGTTTTAAAAATAAATGAAAGGTTTCAATATTTTTTTCCAAAGGTTTCTCAATAAATTTCATGCAAGAGTTTCACCCCTCAGGGCTCTCCAAGTTCTAGAATACAAATTCAAGTACCTGACATAACAACACTGGCAAAGGTACCGCTCCCAGAGTTTAATGTTGAGAAAGAAGATTATCTAAGTATTGATTAATCTCCACAGACTGAAAAAATGAGTGCATCTTCAAGGCAAAGTCTCATCCTCTTCCTTAGATGCTATTGTCGTTTACCATCCTATTCACATACTTGTTTTTTTCCCTTCTTCTTCCAAGTTAGGCTGTACTTTGCACCTCATTATAGTGGCCTATTTTGAGCTGGATATGTCACGCAATCATGATAGTTGAGTAATAATAGTAGCACTAGTAGTGCTGGTAGAAATGAGCCAGAACAATTCATTTATGTACTGACCTCCAGTGCCTTCCTTTCATTCACCTTCTGCCTTGGCCAGAATTACAAATTACTTCCCCACACGATTCCATGCAGAGAAAAAGCAGGGATAAATCATGGTTTTCTGCAGCGCTGCCTGTTGAGGGGCTGTGGCCCTACAAGTCCCTCGAACCGTTGGGGAGTCAGCCCCAGTGGCATCATAAACAACCTTTGCTCTGCAGATCAGGTTAGCTTTCAGTGTCTCTCTTCACTTGCTTGAAGACCGTTTCATTGTAAAGAAACSCCAGATCTATGGAAATATATTTCACTTTTAAACTCTCTATGTATGTAAGGTATGGAATGACATCTGTCTGTGTGTTTTCAATGAGGCTGGAATTTGAAATGAGAACCAAATTGCATTGTATTTACCATGCCTCAGATGGCTGTGTTAGGAGTGGGAGGAAAAAAGGAAAAAATGCTGTCCCTTTCTAGTGGATGTAGACCCAGGACTAACAGAGGTAAACAAAATATCTTTACTTTGAARGTTACCCTTTGTTGCTTGCTACTTAACACAGCAGAAGCAGCTTTTCTAACTGGAGAAATAAATGGAAAAATATCCATACAAAATAGAACCCCTACCGGAAATCCTCTTCCTCGCACTACTGAGTCAGAGTTGTGTTTACGTTACGGAATGGGATGTGTGTGCGGGTGTGTTTATATCTTATATGCAGGAAGTAAATCCTGCCCGAGAGCGTGTGAGACAATATGACGATTGTTGTGTTTATTCCTTATTCTCTGGAAAGAGTTACAACTTGATAGATACAACTTTGATAGATACACATGGGCAACTTTGATAGATACACGTGGGGATGAAGAAAGGATTCTTTTAATAATAAAAGGGAATGTAGGAAACTGGCATACCTGGTGGTATCAATTAAACTGGCTTTTGGATAAGCTTTGTGTATAAGGTTCCCAGTGTAAGTGACAGGTCTTTGTCATGCCATGCTTTGATAAAACTTCGTGTAACCAGCATTATGTTAGCAGCTGAAAGATATTCATTAACAGCAAATACCACTAACATCAGAAGAAAATAGATGGGGGACTAGATATGGAAGTATTTGTGCCGATGTGGGAATGAGGGTTGGAATTTTTTCCTTTAGCAACATATTTTCCGTGCTGTATCTCATAAAATCTGTTCTCTGTGTACTGGTTATATGCTTTCTGCCTAAAGGGCTTTCAAAGTAAAAACAAATGGAAAATGGCATAATCTCAAGGGTTTTTATTCCCTCSCTCACTGTGAAGGAAAAGAAGGCTGCAGTTTATATCTTGGCATGAAGTAGATGCCACTTCAAAGCCCCACAGCTGAGAGTATATACAGAGAGGGCACAGAAGGCATTTATAGCTCTTACTGGGTCAGAGGAAAACTAAAGTTCAGAATTCTCTTGAGCCTCTCTTGGAAGACCAAAACTAAAACTTGGAAAATATCCAGAATCTTAAATTACTCTTTAAATAGGAGCATGGGTTTTTAAGACATCTTGAAGGTTTGTAGTCGCCAAACATCACTAAGTATCCTCTTTTGAGAGGATAGGTAAGGAGGGAGTGAAACTGCATTTTGAGGGAAACTTATTATGATTATTGTCATTATTTGTATTTGGTTAAATATACAACAGTTTATGTAATCCTTGAGACGAGTAAGACCTGCRTAGGGGGATGAGGACCACAGATCACGACTGCATGAAGTAGGATAAATTCACATTTTTCTAACAGGTGCCTTTGAAGTCAGTGCAAATGTTGTTACTGACTGTAGTGGGAATAGATTTTGACTGAAGATTTTACGAGGCAGCTGGAGCAGGTGGTTGGGGAGCCGAGCCTGCCTCACCTCAGCAGGCAAGGACTGATAGCCMACTACACTCTCCGTCAGCACTGACTTGTTTGTATAATCAGTAGCAATGTATGCATACATATAAGTAAGAGAAATAGTTATTTACGTAACATCATAGTTTAATATTATAAACTGTATGTTGCCTTTCATTTTGAAATTTATATAATGTCTATATGCATGCACACATTTGTATATACACTCTTCATATATGAGCATATATTTATACACACACACACACACACACATATATATAAACACACATATTTACGTACCTGTGGCAGCAAAATTTTGTAGAAAAAAGAGAAACATACAGAGAATATAGAGAAATGGCAAGCAGAAGGAAGAGGAATGCAGGGGAYTGAAGGAACAGAAATAATTTCATAGAGAGGATGGAAGATGAAAGAATCAAAAAAACACAGGAGGCAAATTTAGGTAGAAGAGTGGAAGGAGCCAAGGCTGAAGTGATGGATAGAAGTGCAGGCCAGAAGTTAGTGAGCATGGCAAGCACCAAACCAGAGCCCCTTCCCTGTGCTGAACTGAGCTGAGACAGAGCAACTTCAAAGGTGACAAGTAGTGATACCAATCCCAGGTGGTCTTTCAGATAAATGATCACTGTTCTTAAATTACTTCAGCAACATACCCTGTGTTCATGGGTTCAGTCCAGACATTTTGAACCACAAATAAGCAATTCAGCTAGAATTCATGTGATTTCATAATTGTCATAACTTTAAGGTGGGAAGTTGCACGTGAAAAAGAACTTAAAACTTAGTATTTGTTAATATGATTGGTAAATTGACCTTTACTGCACTATCTATACAGTGATGATAACACCTTTGCATTTCACATGGGTGTCAAGAAGACCATACCGACTTTGGAGAACTGTTTTTGAAGCCCTGGCAATGCTACCAGTTGGGAAGATAAATAATTTTCTGCTCAGGTTAAAATCTGAGTTGTGGGCTGAAGGTGTTTGAAAGGTAAGGTTAAAAATTTAGGCAAAGAAACTGTTAAAACATATTGTCTGTATCCTAAATGAGACACTGATACCAAATGGCAAATATATAAGAAYAGGCAAAAAGAAGTTGTATCATTTGCACAGTCAGAAGGATTGAGTGAAGATTGCACAACTGACCTTCATTCAAGCATTTCCTAGCTTATCTGTTGTAACATGAACATTATTTTGGAAGTGTTTGTGGAGCATAACAGTAGTCCGATGTGAACAGTGTAATCGAATAGTTTGAGGGCCTTAAAACTCTGCACAACTGGGCTGTGATAATTGAAGTACTAGACTATGTAAGGGAATGTATTATATAGTCTAATGTCTGTAATATACAATAATTTATGATGAGTCCAAGTGGCGAGTGGACCAGTCTAGGGCTGTAAGTAGACAGTCAACCCTATCTTTCCTCTTATGCAAGGGTACATACTTCTGGTCATTTTCATTTAAATTTAAAATAAAATAATTTTGTTTATAGTAATTATGRTGTTCATAGTGAGCACTAACATAATTTCTAATGTTTTTTCCATGAATCAAATAACATTTTTAAATCCTGTCTGTACAAGCTAAAGTAGCTGAGCTTAGTTTAAATAAGATGAATACTTATGGGTAGCATTTTAYATGGCTAAGGATTGGGGCGTAAGCCTCTTGTCTGTTGATAAACTTCCTATTCTGTGAAATGTGGATAGACCTAAAAGAGATGYTATGAAGCCTATGTAATGTTAATAAAATGCTTAGAGATCTTCCAGGGAAAGTGTAAGGAGTTAATTCGTTTAGATATTTTAGACATTTTTCCTGCCTCTTCATTTTTAATTCAATATAGTTAATTTATGGAATTAATTCAGTGTTGTAAAACTGTAAGGGAATAAAAGTATCRTCCTGAGAAGCAGCCAGTGAAACAGGGATCTGATTAGATGCTGTGGAACTTGATTGAAAGAGCAGCACTGTTTTCAAGTAGTACTGGATTAAGTCCCGTAAAGAAATGTATGAGAAGTCATCTCATTTCATTCCCTCAAGAAGGCAGATGCAAAAAGGAAGCAGGCAACAAAGAGAGTAAGAAGTAAACTATACTCCTAAAATTGAAATAATAATATCTGTATTGCCAGCAGTAAGCARGTATAAAGTGTATATGTAGTGTTCACCTTTTGGGGCTAGGTGAAAGGAGATTTCGCTCTGTTCATAAACAGACCTGCTTTCTAGAATAATTTAAGACCCCAGTCCTRCAACTGGGCCTGTCTATACAGCCCTCTGACTTCCTAGCCCCCTGTTCTCCTAAACATCAGTCTTYGTGGGAGCAGATGTTCACCATGAAACTTTTGGCGAGATTAGGGCAYGCTACTGTGTCGCGTTTGCCATGCCGGTGTGACACCTGGTTTCGAGACACATACCTTAAAAATTAATGCAGAAGAAAAATCCAAGAACTACTATGTGATTTAGGGTTGGGACCTAGTTCGGCCTGTGTAAGTACTGTGCGCAGTAATTCCTTCAACCATCTAAACCCARCAAACTGTGTTTGTGAGTCAGCAGCCAGAATTACTCGCTGCTGGCACAGTTGTTTATAATAGTTACACATGAAGTGTAAATTTCTCAGAAGTGTCAAAATAACCTTGATCTGCCTTCACAGTAGCACTCAGTTTACCATATGACTGTTGTCTCCAACTAGCATAGCTMAAGTGAGACTGACACCACTTGTTGCTGTATTCAGTATGCACACAGCAGCAATGAGACTTGCACGAGAGAGGAATTGGAGTCTCAGGGTGTTTGAATTAGTTGATGAGATAACTACAGCAATAGTGTGAAGTCCAACCCTGCTGCAGCTTTGCCCTGTGCTCTCAGCTCCAAACATTGCTCAGRCTTGGATGTTTGCAGGTAAACAAAATCAAGATGGGAGATTAACTTTGACTAGTCATGCAGTGAAGGCATGATTTTAAATCAGAGATGGTCGTATTTTTGGATCATGTGCTGTAAATCCATAAAACATTACAGTGGCCTGGGCTTTCAGAGTGGGATGAAGACTTACTCTGTTTTGCCATCTCTAAATACTTTTCCCTATAAAACTGTATAACATTTTTTATCATGGGAAATAAACATATTAAAGTGTTTCATGCAACTGTGTGTGTGTGTGTGTGTGTGTGTGTGTGTGTGTGTTGTTCTCTTTTTTTTAACCTAAAAGCAGGATAATGAATTATTTGCCCTGACAGCCAACCTGCCTGGATGAAGATGTCTTTCTCTTTAAATCAGAACAAGTAACTTCTATTCAGGATATTTTTCAGGATATTTTTTCCTTTTAAATAGTTAGCATGTCACAAAGGCTACTTTTCGAACAGCTTTATGACTTGGCTGAGCAAACTGATTGTTCTGAGCAGGTTTTCTCTCTCCCAGCTTGAAGCATCTGCAGAGTACATGGAGATACCTTTGGATGAGCTAATCACTCCAGTGTGTGGGAAGGAAGAGGTGCTTCTAGATATTAAATGTTTATGCTAGGATGAATTAAATTAAACTCTTGATGTACTTTTTTCCACTAGCGGTAATGGGAACCTAATGGAGTCTCTCATAGCTGAAGACATCAGAGTGTAAAACTACCTCTCCTGCAAAATCGGAATGAAAAAGATTTCTCAAGGTTTCTTTTTTTAAAAAAATATTTTTTCTATGTTTTTCACAAGCAGCATCGCTTCTAGAATAAATCGATTCTTAACTGTGCTTTTTCTTTAGTGTTGGAAAGGAAGATTTCAACAAGACAAAGCAGAGAGGAGCTGATAAGAAGGGGAGTTCTGAAGGAAATGCCTGAGCAAGGTGATAACGAATTACCTAGAATTTAGTTCTTGAGCACTCAACATGAATCTAAACATAAAGAATACTAAAAATAAAGACTAAAAATAAATATTGTATTGTTTCCATATAGCATAAATAGGTATAAGGATGCAAATTTGAGGTATGAGAGAGAATATGAGATAGGTCACAACTAAAGGTAGAGATGAGATTTGTCTCTTCATGTTTCTGACTTATACATATATATATACTGTATGACTTTTGGTCACATTGCTGAGTATTTTGATGCTCCCTGGACAGTGCAAAACTTTTGGAATTAGTTTTTAACCTATTTTTTGAGTCAAACTCTGTTTTCTAAAGCCAATGGAAGATGATAGGGAAAATTTACACTGAAAAATGGAAGTGCTTGGGGCCACACCATTACCTGTTATGTTTCACCAGTGTAAACCAAAGGAAGTAAATCAATAGCTGCTGTTTCAGATATCAAAAAGTATCAGTGTTGGGACTGATCATACAAACTCAACTACTATTAACCACTATTTGACCACATTCAAAAATAGCACATAGAAGTCTATGGGGAATACACCACATCTCAAAACACTGTAAGGTGTAGTATCTGGCAACTAGAATTATTTGTACTTGGAAAGGCCTGAGTGAACTATATTTATCACCTATATGGTGCATCTGATTATGTTTCTGAAGTGCTACTGTTTTTTTAAAATTCCTTSTGGTCCTTTGGTATTGTTTCTCAAATTCTTCATCTTGTATATATCTAAATCCAATAAAAATCAAGTAACTCAATTTTATAGCCTAGAATTAAGCCATTCATCATTTTATCAAAAAATCTATTAAGATTTTGCCAGTAGATAGAGATGAGTGTGAACTTAATGGTTTCCAAAAATAGATTTCTGCCAGGAATTGTGTTACTCTCTCTGACCTAAGAATTGTGGAAGTGAACTCATGAATAACTCAATATTTACATTCCTGACAGCCTTATATACACTGACAATTAGAAATAAAGAGCTTTTTGTTGACATGTGACGTAACTGGTCTTTACAGTCTTACTTTTATTACAAATCTATGACATTCAATGTAGCTGGCTTCTGAACTTGTGTCTGTCACTGTTTTTGTCTAAAAACAAAAAATGTAAGCTCTCCATAGCTCATTTTTTACATCTCTGAGTTTATTACATTTTTTGCTACGTGCTTCAACACAGAGCTCTGTGATTTTGTTGATTGATGACCATAAATTGCATTTAGGCTCTCAAGACAGAGAATGCAATGTGTTAACATTTCAGGTTGGTTAAAGCCAGTCTGAAGATATAAATACTAAAGTTTGTCTTAAAAATATGTATCCTTTGGTTATTAGTCTTGTTCACTCTCCACTGTGAATCCATTACAGAGACTGTCCGATCCCATTGGCTCAGAACAAAAGTAGAAAAGTAGGTAAAAAGGACTCATTTTTTCCCCTTCCTTCTGCCCCTTAAGATGGCCATCAACCCAGTCTCTGTTGCCTGCATTACATGTGCTTCATGTCTGAAGAATACTGTAAATTTTAAGGAACAGTTTGAATGAATATGGGGTTGATTTGAATTTGCTAAAATAGAAGGGCAGTTGATATAGAAAAAGAAGTTAGAAGACATGACTGTGAAGATGAAAGCTGGATGATAAAATTGCATGGAATATTGAAACAGAAGAGGTAAGAAATGTGAAGATACAAGTTATTTTATGTGGAATGAAAAAGAAGTAGAAAGTGGTAAGTACAGAGACATGTTTGTCAAACTGTGATATGAATAGGGAATGAGAAAGTTATATAAGAGACATAAAGGAAAGAATAGATTTGTGAACATCTGGAAGAAAAAAGCAGAAGTGGTGAAATGTTGCAGTAAAGTAAGAAAGAGCCCTTTGCATCAGATGTAGTTGAGGAAAGGTTAAGAAGACAGAAATTAGTTTCTGCCCGAGTTGAAGTTAGTGCTTGGATGAGACTRATCAGATTGACTCTGAGTAGCTCAAGATGGTAAGAGAGGCTACATAATTGTACAGATATTGGGAAACTGCCACACATCAAGGCCTGATAGCACGCAGCAAGGGAGAAGTCAAGAAAAGAGAGGAATTAYCACAGTTAAAGAAGCAAGATTAACACAACACAACAGTGTTAACAATTAACAAAACAGATAAAGTTGTGTTAATTTTAGATAGGAGGTGAAAGAATCTAGTAGGAGGAAAGTAGTCATCTATGTGAGCTGCAGGTGGAGTGTGGGCAAGATAGTGCAACAAGTTTTAGAAATGACCTGAGAAGAAGGTCAGTGGTCTTAAAATAAGTGGGAAACAGAAACAAGTAAATTAGTAAAGAGAGGAAGCTGTGAGCCAGACAGCTCACAGGAAGAGTATGTAGCATTTTTCATGAATATAGACAAACCAGGAGTTTATTTGCGGAGAAAAAAATACATGTAGCTAAGGTCATCTGAGGTCATCTGGGAAAAGAATTTATAATTCAGGGAAATTCAGGGAAAGAATTTATAATGCAAAATTCTAATAATGGTGGCATGTGTGAGACTCGAGGTCCTCTCTGATCTTCTCCCTTGGATAATGACTTTGTGACCCATTTTTTCAATACCTGAGCACATGTATTCTGAGAAATCCTCCCTGAATTCCTTGCTGATTTACCTACTGGGATACATCACAGCAGTCCTGCAATGCAATGATATCCCTAGTTATGCTTAGATGGAGCCTATTGAACCACATTGCTACTCCGTTTTGGTTAATGCACCTTTCTTTGCTTTGTAAACCAAGATGTGGGGAGGAAGAGAATGAGGTGCTAATGTGCACAGAGGGCACATCCCTAGGTGAATTCACAAAGCTAGACCAGAAAACTCACATACACTTCCAGGTTCTCTACTACAGAGATATCCACCCAAAGAACCTGGATTTATATAGAGTTCCTTTCCAGAATTACTTTTCAGAGCAGATCTACAGCCTGTTGTTTTACATTCAGTAAGTCTTTCTGCTTTGTTTCCGTGGAAATTTAAAAGCAGATAGTTGTTTGTTGTCAGTAGGTTCTACAGAAACAGTTAGACAATGGCTTTTTGATTTTCATTGCAGATGGTGATGTAACAGTAAACTTTGAAACCTCAAATGGACACACCATAGCTATCAGTGAAGAAACCATCTCAGAAGAAAACATTGTAAAAGCCAGTGGAGATAATGGTACTTTAGCAGAGAAAGAATCTGCATTGGAAGGAAGAAAAGAAGATCAAAAAGGTAAACAAACACATTCTTCACAACTTGTTTTCCACCTACTTAAAATATTAACACAGWCTTCCGTTCACACCAATTCATGCTGAGAATTCTGTTCTGCAACAAGGCTGCCAGCAGAACCTGCCAAGAAGATAGAGTTGTGAAACATCAGTATTTCATCACTGGTAGGCATGCATTTTACTGTGACTACAGAAAAGTCATAAAGAGAAGCATGGTCTTAGCATGAGAATGTGTGAAGGGATGTTTGATTTCTAAATTCAGTGTTCATTCTTTTCCTTGTAACCATGAGCAAACCTTGGTTCCTGGTTTCCCTTTGTGAAAGGAAACAGTAAATGTATACGCATCACCTTCCAATATTATTGCAGCAGTTGTTGAGATGCTAAATGTTCAGAAGGGTTTAAACCACGTAAAAAACATGTATGATGTTGAAAGTAACTTCAGCACCTTATTCCTATTGGTTTTCATTAAATTTTGAGCAGCTGAAGTCCATTTCTTCAGAAATATTCAAGAGGAAGGCTACTACTACAAACTGAACGTAGGCTGTTTATGGAAAGTGTACTTGGTCACTATGTTTTCTCTAGATAGAGAAATGTAGTAAGTACCACTAATTATTTATTATTATCCCAAGTCCATATTAATTTTTGCTTTTGTTCAATTCTACCCATAGTAATAAGAACTTGAATAACAAAAAGTAGAGACTAAGCTGGAATCACAGATTTGAGTCTATTTTGTTTTCTTTCTCTAGTATCTTATTCTTTTCTGTCAACAGAAAAAGTCTTAAATAGTCTTCAGCATACTAAATTTTCCTAGAGGAAAGAACAATGGTACAAAAGGTCAAGATCTTTACAACTGGCTGTTGGACTGAACAGTCCTTCCAGTTATGTTCTGGTAACCCCTACCTAGTGATAAATGAGCCTCTGGAGGTTGAGAGGGTCAGGTCAGCTAACTCAAAAATCTGAATTCTTCTCTGAGCTATGTAAATTGCTTGAGTATGTAAAACATAGCTAGGAGCTAAGAAGAACTGCCTTTTTATGAGGTTTCTAGTACTTCCTGTATCCCAACAAGACAGAAATACAGGACTAGACTTTTTATGACATTTAAGTACATCTATCTTTTGGTGCCAGCTAGAACTGGTTGTGTATGGGCCAGATGAAAAAGAGTAGTAAAAGCTGTGTAAAACTCCAGTAAAATGTTTCAAGATAACTTTGGGATAGATCAGCTCAATTATTATTTTATGCATCCCTGAATGTAATCTTCTGCAATTGTCATGTCTTGGCAGTTTTCCTAAGAGACCGTCTCTTCAGAAACATACAATGCTAACTGTTTTGGAATCCCGTCTACCTGGCTGCATAATTTAATGAAAAGAAAAAGGTTCAATATCTGTTTCAAACATATTATTATCTTCTGCACTTGCTATGTATTGAGTTGTCCTTACAGAGAGAAATTCAAAATTATTGCTCTACAGGAGTAGACTAAGTGCAGAAAATGTCAAACTGTCACTGTCAAGCTACCATCACTCAAGTCTTTCTCAGAAAATGAAATTTTTATTGAGGAGAGAGAAGAAAACTAAGAAATGTTGATTCTTGTTTTCCTGGACTTCTTAAAATGTCAATATGTCCATATTATTATGCAAAGCACTTGAATATAGCTTTCCTCTTACATGTAAACATTATAAACAACTGTATATATTTTGGGTTGCCTGAAAAAAAAATCAAGATAGGTATATTCCAGAGTATATCTATATCTACCCACAGAAGTGTTCAGGAATGATTCCATCTATCAGCAACACTTTCACCTAGTGCAAGAAGTAATAGTAGGTTGAAGTAAGTAAGTTGAAGAGTAAGGTCCRGTGCATCACGTAGGTGCTCCCCCACTTGCCAGATTAACCCTCTGTGCAGTAGGTGTACCCTGCACTCATTGACAGATCAAGAAACTACCCGCCAAAGAGCAGTTAGCTAACACTCACAGAGCATCAGATTCAGAGCTGAAACAGGAATGCAGAAATACTTGGCTCACTGTCTGGTGCACAGACTGTAGAGCGTGCTGAGAATTGAAGTAGCTGAGGTGAATCAAGACCATGAATTCCCAAGAGGGRATTCATGTTGCTGGAGATAATGCTAGGCTTTGTAGAGTCCTGAACTAATATACTAGAATCTTGAAGGAAGTTTTGTCCAGCTTTCATGTTTATGAGACCTGTAGACAAAATTAATTCCTTTCATTTAGTAGCCAAGTATGCTACTTCTAACTCCTGCCAAATCAAAATGTTCCCGAAAATGCATCTCAGGCCCTAAAATGTTTTGAGATTACTTTAAAATTCTTTTATTAAAATGTGGTGGTCTTTACTTGCTGTCTTGTTGATGTGGGTCTAAAAAATGAGCTTTTTACATAAATATGATGGAGCTGCAAGATTAGAAAGAGCAAGTATTGCAGGCATTGTAATAAAATAGTGAGAAGTGACAGCAATGAGTAATGGAATGTGGAATATGTTAGGAGTTAAAAGAAGTTAAAAGAAGAAAGCTCTTCCTATGTCATCCAGAGAAATCCAGAGAGCATCAAAATAGAAAAGAAAAACAATAGCCTCAACCATACAGTGTTAAAATGAGTTAAGCAAAAATGAAGAAAAAGAGCCCTGAAAGATGTCCCAGGTGCTGCCAGGCAGTTCTATAAACTTTATACCCCATCTGCTGCTTGTCAGCTCACAGATGCTTTTCATATTTTGCAAAACAAAAATCCTTTGGTAATTTAATAGTRTATCTGTTTCTGTTTGTCATAGTGATAAGATGTTAGCTATAAAAGTGGGGAATTTAAAAGGAAAWTTTTATGGGACGGTAATAAAAGGCTGGTGACAGTTTTACATAAAACAGGTAATTGACTGATGAAGATTTGCAGATGACAGTCCAYGTGCTGGATCTTGTTCTTGGATCACATTGTGTATGCACTCTTTTGAGTTCTGATTTTTTTACTTTTTTGGGGGTAAGAAAAATTACTAGCATCTTTTTTAATATAAAATAAAGAGCTAAACTGTGGCCATTCTCRCTAAGGATACTGAAGGAGATACAGAGTAGTGAGCAGTCTGGTAATGCCTAGTCATCTAGTCATCACCTGAACTATGTAAATGAGGCTGAATGTAAATCTTCCTAAAAGGAAAACTACATAGGACTCTTTCGGGGCCAAATCCATCCACTAAGTCAGTTGGGACTGACTTTTATAGAAAAGATATCCTGATGTGATTCCAAAAATGAGATGCAGACTTGAATGTAGCAGGTCAACTACTGAATTATTTAAACATATTCATATAGGAAGCATAAGGGAATGTAGAAACCTACATGCCCTCTCACTTTCCACAGCTTCCATAGACCAAGATATGGTAAACACAAGCAGTTGACCATGTAGATATTAACAAAGTTCTGCTTTGATTTAATAGTTCTTTTTTTTTTTTTTTAACACAATAGTTAGGTGGTTAGCAATGTAAAATGCCAGTCAATGTCTTTTTGTATTAATACCAAGATAAAAAATATTTGAATGTTGTTGCTTTACTTCAGATGTTACACCTCTCCCTCTTCTGCTGCTGCCTCTGCTCTAAGAGTTTTTGTGCATGGTGCTGTTGACATTATCAAGTGAGAAAGATCTGGAAATCAGCGGATGTACAAATCTGCTCATCCATTTTCAAGAAAGATGAATTCAGAATTAGAATTAGTGTGGAGAGGGCTGCTAAGACCATCATGAGACAGCTGTTCTTGTTCAGCCTAGTGAAACAGAGCCTGAGAGTCTTAATGTAACAGGTTGGTTCACAGCCAGAATCAGAGCATAGCTAAAGGACAATGCTGGCATAAGTAGAAATGAGTAAATAGTGACTTGAATACATTAACACAGGAAATCAAAGAAAGCTTTCTAATAAGCAGAATGGGTCTTTTCTTGAACAGAGTTTTAGTAGCAATGGCAGGAGCAAAAATGGAAATGGTTACAACTGAAGTTTATGAAAGAGATTGTATGAGGTAACTGCCTGCATCAGTGCAAAAGGATGTCAAAAACATCCTCCTGTGTTAATCAAAACAAAGCTCTCTGCATAGTCTGCAAAGGAAAACTCAGAATTGTTTGATTTTACAGAGACTTAACCTGCAAAGGTTACCAAATCATGGTTAATTTTATCTTCCACTTCACATAGCATTACTCCACAGAGTTATGCTGGTCTTGCAGGAGAAGAGTACTTTGGAATTGATGTYGTTTGTGTGCTCAACTTGCAGCTCTGTTGGTTCTCTGCTTGTAAGATAGTATCATATCAGTGTTCTAGCTGCAGAAACAGGAATATCAGCACTGTAGGACAAAATCTACAGGTTGAAAAACTTCGGCTTTCAATTGCTCAGAAATTCCTAATAGTTAAAAAAAAAAAAGTGTGTATTATACAACCCAATTGTGTATGGCTTCTGAAACTATGTTGAGGATTTTCATAGCTATTCAGAACCACCATTTGTTCCACAGTTTGTAAAAGACGCCATATTTAGCTTCTAAAGTAAGTCATCTGATTTTCCAGTGAATATGGCATGCTGAAATCTCTCTGAAACTCTCTGAAACTTGAAAAGTACCCATGAGAGCAGCTGCATACTAAGTATTTTTGCATTCCTGACCATCATTTAGATGTTTACATAAGAACACAGATTTCTTAAAAGTCTGTCCCTGATCACATTTTCTGGGAACAAGAAAATCTGGTTTCAAACTGAGCTTTCTTGAAAATCTGCCCTTGAAGATTTATTCTAAACATAAACATATTATTATTGATCCAAATGCTTAATGAGACATTAACATTTGCTTTGCTTTCCTTTTAAGAGAGTAATTTGCTTTTACAACAGATGTCTTAATGAAAGCAGCAGTGAATAAAAGATATTCCTTTCTAATGGTCTTTTGGAGACCATTTGCTAGGGTACAGTTCCTGATGAACAATTGTCTACATTAAGAACAGCAGCTCTAAAAATACATTGCAGCTGGTACTGAGGTACCATGGAGATGTTTTTGAATAAACAGATGTCCTGAACTGATTCARATGGCTCCTTGGTTTGGTGGTCACAGCTGAGATGCTGAATAAAGCCCAGGCATGAAGAGCAAGGGCCCATATCCTTGCAGAATCCTGTTAGGGAGGTACAACTACAACATAATTATATCTTGAGTCATTTACAGTCATTACAGTCACTGTTTGTTGAAGAACATGCTTCTGTTGCCATTACTATTATCAGTTATTCATATTACTGCAGTGCTTATCTCTCTATACCGGAAATGTATCGTACAGTGTTTTACATAAACACAGAACAACACCAAATATGTTCCAATGGATTTGCAGTCTGTGAGAGGACACTGTGGTTTGGTACTGGAAAACAAGAGGGGACCTGCCCAGGATAATAAGCAAAATGCCAATGATGTAAAAATTGTCAGATATGGCATCATAGCATAGGGATATTTGTAGGAAGATGTTAACTTTGCAGCTGCTTACAAGGAGCTTCCTTCCAAGTGTGAGAGGCAGTAGAGGAAAGGCAATGGAAAGTATCTGCTTCAAGCTTGGTTTGCAGGCACCAAAAGTTAGTGCAATGGGCTGGTCACCTGGGAACTGGGAATCATTAACTTATGAGTAAGTGAAAAAGAGCAACTCGGACAAGAACAGATATCACGAGATAAAAAATCAACAAAGGGACAACAAGAGAGATGACATGGTCAAAACAATGGTCAACAATAATCACCATTACCACAGCTTCCCTTATGGATATGGGCAAGAAGAGATTCAACAGTTAAAGTGAAAAAGAGTATTTAGGTAATTAAGATGAGATCAAGACTCACTGAGAGCTGTTAACTATTCTGAGTGACAGAAAATGTGAGTCTTGGCACTGCTGTGCAGAAGGATTCTGCCAGATTTTGATAGGAGATATATAATTGTACATCTCATCAGGTTAGAGGTGATATTCAAGTGATAACTAGGTACATCTGTTAAAATGGCTAATACCTAAATTGTTAGTTTTAATCAATATGAAATCTGCAAGCAGGAACTGTGATTAGAGTTTTCTATTCTAATTTTATTTTCCCTTTATAGTTTTAAGTTGTTTTTCTAAAGAAAAGTTGAAACTCACTAGGTGGCAGACATTCAGATATGTTTATTTCCAGTTGAGTAAAGCTTTAGCCTTACATTTTTGTGCCTTTTTTGACTAATTCAGAAGGTAAATTTTCCTATACCTATATATTCTGTCCTTTATGTAGTAATTTAAATTGTTTGAGATTCTAAATGATTTAATTGTGTTACTTGTATTACTTATTACCATGGTGCATGGAATATTTSTTTTTACTGATGTATTGTTTGTATTATTATGGCTGGAAACAGAACTTGGTGTCAGTGCAGAGAAGCTCTTTTTATTAATAACTAAAGCTTTAGCCTGCTGGACTCATGAAGAGGTGTATTAAAGAATGATTTGCACTTAAAACTCTTCTTGATGATCATGTCCTTCAAGATCTTTAAAATATAAAACCTTCTTTTGCTATGTTTAAGAAAATTAGTGTTTTAAAATTTCCTGCCTTTTCAGAATTTAATCGTTTATTTAACTTTGATTGAATGTATGTGAAGTTTCCCAAGAAGATTATTTTTTGCTATAGAAGAGGAAAACAAAATATAAGAAATATAATTATTTATTTTTCCAAAGTCTTTTTGTGGTCCAGAAGAAAGAAATAAGAGGACAAGAGATAGTTCAAGAATTTCTGCTCAAAATAATCTGTTTAGTAGCTGTAAAAGATTGCCATACAACAGTCATTGCACAATGTCAATAAAAACATGTCAGTCTTTAATGTGATAATAAGGGCTGAAAAATTAGGAGGAAAAAGCTCAATGGTTAGTGTTAATGCTTCAGTTCATGAAGAGAGATATGTATGCATGTTGCTTTTAATAACTGCAGGTGATGCTTTAATTTCCTGCTAACCAGCTTTGAACCAGCATTTGAAAATGCTTTGATTCTGAGCTAAAGAATGTCATTCTTGTCCAAAATGTTATTTACTTTTCATCTACTAATCTTAAAATGAAAAGATGCTGTTTATCTCTTGGGAATCTTTAACGTAGGGAGGAATAGAACAGAAAAGTAAAAACAAACAAACAAAAAAAAACTAGTAGATTTAGAAAAGGCCACTTAATGTATAGAAGAATTAGATTRTAATTGAACATAGTGTAAGAAGTGAATTGACTTCTTCTTCGGTGATAAAAGAGAAGCCAGAATTTCCATCTAGCTTTCAGCCACAGGTAAACAATCACAGAGATTATGTTGCAAAATTTTGTGTTGGCTATAAATGGTTTATCTACATTAGCATTACAGGTTGCATCAGGAGTGCACTTTCAAAATTAATTTCCTGGTCATTCGCACTTATGCTGCTTTGGTTTGCTGAGTGCACAAACTGGGTTCTTTTTGGATGTAACGAAGCCAAAGGATGCACTCAGTAACTCAGTGAATGTGTGTCCACCACTTATGGGCAGACAAGCCTGGCTGGAACTAGTCCAAAATAAAATCTTCTGAAATGGATCTGGAGTCCTCAGTGCTACATGTTTCAGTCTACAAGGCAGCTGGTATTGCACGGCATAACTCTGTGTGCTGATGTAGACAGTAAACATTTTCACTGAGTCTTTCAAGAATTATTGGTTCTTGAAACTGCAATCTTACAACAGAACCTGAAGAGTATGTAGGAGGGAAGAGCATTCCCATAGCAAATGATGTTCTGTCTCATTTAATTTCACCTGTTTCTGAAGAGTAGAATTACCTTGGGAAGATACTCCAAATAAATTTACTGTTTCTATGAGCCATCAGACTGTGGCTTAGAAGAATGGGTTGCTTTAGGGGAAAATTCCAGCTAGTCTTGTTTGAACAACAAAACATAGTCTTGTTTGAACCTCTGTYGAGAGAATGTCCTCTACATGTTCAATTCACATGAATCCGAGTGATTCTTGAGTGATATATCCTGTTGATCTCAGAGGATCGGAAAGAATCCAAGGGAATTTGTTAGAAAAATATATAGCAGTTAGTTTGAAGCTGACACTCTAGCCACTGCTACTGATCATTTAAGGATGATGTTYAGAACATCATCCTTAAAGAAGAGGTGAGATTGAGAGAAGTGAGGGCAAAACTGGATCATCTTGCAAGAAAAGGTCTTGCATTAAGATAGACCATAATATTTTCCTGAATAAATACGTCAGTATGAGGCAGAAGACAAGGAAGTCTCTCCTAATTCCCAAGAGGTCAAGCAGCAAAAAGTTGTCACTGTTGTCAAGCTGCTGTTAAGTGTATGTGCCATATGTCTGTATCAGCTGGCTTCTGTTCACTTTCTTATCCATAGAGAGCACTACTGATCCCTGCCCAGAAATCCCGGCATCTCATGCTCCACCACTACCCAGGCCTAAGCCTAAAACTAAAAAAGCTCTGCTACCACCAAAAAATGCTATTGCTGCTTCCACCACCACCAGCCATAAGAGTAACGATGCACCTCATGCTAAAAAAAAGGGAAAGGCTCCTGCTAAGCAGCCTCCTCTCCCACCTCCCAAGCCAACAAGCCACAGTGCAAATCGAGAAGCTGGTGAGTACTGCACAGGCAGTGCCCGTTATGGTCGGGGCACGTGTGTGKGGGTGTGTGGCTTGGTCCTTTGAGAACTTGTGCTTTTGTAAATACCAATGTGCAAAAGGGCATGCGACTGATGTCTTCTAATGAGCTCTCTGCTGAGCTCTGGTTCTGCTGTCTGCAAACACTCTAAGTWGTGGGGAGATCACTTTGCTATCTAGAAGATATGCAACAAGACCAAGCACAACAGAGATTATATTGTATTCCCAGTTAAAGTGTGCATGTTGGCAATAAAATGACCCCRAGAACTGTTAAAGAATCAGTGGGGAAAAAAAAAAAAAAAAAAGGTGACTTCTGAAACCAGGTGTGTTTGGATTACCCCAAGGTAAAACTATTTTGGCAAATGGTATTGCTGTAAGTTTCTGCTGGAAACATCTATTCACTCAATAAGTTCGGCAAGATTACAAGATCTTGAGGAGATCAAGGATAAAATCATGAATACATCTTTAAAGATTATTGAGTACTTTGTTTTAGCTGCAGGAAGAAATTATAGCTCATCAGAAATGGCCTGGCTTCTGTGGTGACTGGTGGATTTCTATAATTCTAAATATGCCCTGGAAATGGAAAATACCCATCATCAGATACATAGCAGGTATCACTACAGTTTTTAACCAAAATTTAGCAATGATGCTAAATGAAAGATTTTGTAGGTAGCTAACTTCAAGATACTGATCTCCTCAAGTCTGAATGATTATAATTAGAAGATGGCCAAAATGAGAACACCCAAATGTAATTTAAACATCGCTGGTATTATGATGAATGGACTGTGTACATGCTTTGGCCAGCTTACACAAACCKTGTGTTTTCAATTCTCTTTCAGTCTTTCAGAGTCAGTTCCTGCAGCTTTTTCTCTAAGTATACATCTTCATAGCTTGTGCGTTTTGGCAAGTTTTGTATTTGAAGAACTGTCTGAAAAGATTTGGGGACAGCTAAAGTTAAAATAATAACTTTACCATAAAACAGCCAGGAATTTGGTATTGCATCATTACTATATTAGCAGACCACAAGAAAAAGAAACATTTTGAAAACCCAGAATTTGCTGTCTCTATTTCAGATTCAAATGGAAAACTCGGTTATACCAATGTGTGGGAATCGTATAACAATACACCTTTCAGATATTGAAAAGTGACCCATTCAGATAAAGATGCTTAGTCCTGGTGTTGGAAAGAAATCCTTAGGTATCTGAGTTGTTTAAAATAGATTCAAATTTCAGATTTGTCTTTTATTAACCTGTCTGAAGTTTCATGGAGTGCTTGAGACCATATGAGTACAAAATATATCCATGTGTCCCTTGTCTAAAAGTGTAGATATTCTAATAGTAATTTCTTTCAACATTAAGTACATCATATTCATATGAACTCTACTTTGTAGAGAGAGCTGCTTGGGAAGTAATAGTGCAGAAAGTTTAGTAGACACCCATAAAAGTGAAGACGTGACGCAGCCGTGGTCCCATCCCGTGAAGGAGGATAGGAATGTGAGTAACTAGCTCTCATGAGGCATCACAGCAGGCTAGTTCAAACTGAAACAGTAGATATGGGAGGAGGAGAGCTCAAACAGAAACATGGATCTTTTCCACAAGACAGAAAAAATTAATCAAAATTCTTATTTTCTACTGAAAGAGATATGTGACAGAAAATTGTTAGTCAGCCCAGCCAAAAGCAACAATAACAATAGCTCCTTTGACTTGAGGGAAAGTGGGAGGAAATTTTCTCTAGCAGAATTCTTTCAGGTCTCTACAGCTGATTGCAAGTCCGAAAAGGTTCTGAGATGAATGCAAGATTTTTTTTTTCAATTGAAATATCTTTTGACATTTTCCCAAAGATAATTATAGCATAGCTGTATATTTGTATTATGCTGAAGTTCTTAAATCAAAGCATGTAACTCATTTCATTGCCTCTGAGCCTCTGTTTAAGTGCTTTGCTGGATCAGAACCAGAGCTCTTTGTTAGTACCATTCTCTTACTCAGTAGGTTTCTGCTAAATAATATGCAGTTGGAGTCACCATTTATTTCCTCTGCAGTTATGGACAACTGTCTATTACATTTGTTTGTTTCCTTATGGTTTGCTATTAAGTTAGTCAGTGATTTGCAGCTGATTGGTAAGATTTGTGCAGTATCAGTAGATTACCTCACAGCACAAAGAGGGACACTGATTCCCTGAAGTCATGAGTTTCTACCAGATGTACTAAAAGCAACACAGCAGCCTATATGTTTATAAACTTAACATTCTACCGCAGAAGAGAATGGCATAATATGTCTTTTCTATAAATTTCCGTTTTTGAGATTGAGAACAGTGTAACTGTGGAAGCTGTTTTTGTATCATGAGTTTATTATGGCCAGTGTCTGTATTTTGATTCCATCCTAATCTGCTGAGGTTTTGTTTTTATTTAAATGCTTGTAAGTTAAATAGGCCTTTCAGCACTTTCCTACTACAGCTTTCTGTTTTATTCAGAAAGCTTAACTGCAAGGCTGCTGTGTAACCTTTTGATGGTTTTATTTTTCCTTTTGAGGYTAATGCATTTTTATAATGGCAGATGTGTTTGAATTGGGTGTATTTTGATGAGAAGAACTGAATTGCAAGATGGTGGTTGTTTATATTGCTTTTTCAATGAATGTCAGAAGCCAGAGCTCCCAGTTCAGATGGTGGGTACATCATCACAGCAATCAAGTGTAATGGGAATGTATTTGGATACATCAGACTAATAAAAATCTCTTGCCAAACCGAGCAGTGATTGTAGCGAGCCTGTACAGCTGATGTCTGAACCCTGTGTCACTGCATTTCCAAGGCTACCAGCATTTGTCACTGCTAAGATAAGCAGCTCYAGTTCGTATGGGAGGCCTCTCCCATTATAGAATTCATTTGTGCACAGCAGGGTTAGTGGATTCTGCTTCCATTGAATTTAATGCCCAACTGGACTTGAAATCTGGACTTGCAAGTCTATCTTGTTTTGCTTTTCCTCTATTTCTACCCCCAAGGAAGAATACAGCACTTGGAAGAACATTGCAAAGTCATAAAATCACAGAATAGTTGAGATATTGCTGTAAAATAGAAATAGTTGGGWGAGACAACTCGAGATCGTCTGGTCCAACCTGCTGCTCAAGCAGAGTCAACTACAGCGAGTAGCTCAGGATGTGTCAAGTCAGATTTTGAGTATCTCTAACACTGGAGACACCACAGCCTCTCTTGGCAGTATGTTCAACACCCACACAGAGAAACACTGTTTTCTTATGGTCGGATGGAATTGTGTTTCAGTTTGTGCCTGCTGCCTCTTGTCCTGTAAGTGGCACTGCTGAGAAGTCTGCCTTCGTTATACCTTCCGATCAGGTATTTCTAAATAGTAATAAGATCTCCTGAACCTTCTCTTCTCCAGCCTTTCACGGCCTGTCCTCATATGAGAGATGCTGCAGTCTTTGTAGTTCTTTGGTGGACTTGATCCATTAAGTTCCTCCTGTACGGGGAGCCCAGCACTCTGCCTTACTGCTTGTAAAAGCAGACTCCTGTCCACAGGGATGATGAGAATTTAGAAGGGACCTTTGCAGGTCACCTGAGCCAATTGTGCCCCCCTTCATTCAAGATTCAATTTCAAAACTAGATCCAGATTTCAAGTAATCTGAAACTATAGTTTCATAATTAAGAGAGTGTTGGCTTGGATACTAATTTAGTAAATTCTTTAGTAGCTTCTCTCCTCCTCAGTCACTTTTTGCACTGTCAGTGTAGAAAGGTAAGATCTTTCTATAGAGTAGAAACTTAATTTTGAGGTCTCTGAAATCCTTTAAAATAAGCCCTCATACTTCCCTGAGTCTCATACAAAGTCAGGAAAACTCATGCTTCTAGGAGCTAGCTGAGTTAGGGAAGTAGACAGTTTTCTCCATCTATTAGCAAATTATTTAACCCAGGCCTTAAACACTTCTGAAAGAACAGCATTTTTTGGATGATGTCCAGACAAGTTGTAAGGGGGCTAGACTGCTAGGATCAAACTTTCACCCTTTTCTGAGGCTGATGCCCACCACTCTTCCTAGGCAAGTATTCATCATTTCAGTTTTCCCACCTCTAAAGCTGAAATAAGAATTGCAACATTAACTTAYAAAGTGTATGATGAAGGATTATAAAAGTATCAAGTGTATTTTTTTCATTTAAACATCTGCATGCAAATCAGTTAATGCAAAAATGGTGCAAAAAATGGTATTCTTGCAAGACTAAAATGCTTTTTCTTATCATATTTTAGCTAGTTCCTCACATGCAAAAAAACCAACAGTCTCCAAGTCCGCTGTATCACCATCTCCTTCGTCCACATCATCTCATCCCAAAGTCTCTAAGGAGACATCCAGCAAATCAGGCACATCAGGGACTCCCAGAGGCAAGAAAAAACCTGGGAAACAGTCAGCCCCACGAACAGCACCAGATGGGGCTGCTGCTTCTCCCTCAGGTGCCACAGCCAACAGGTCGGAATTGAAGGCGGAAAAATCTGAGCCTGAGCAACCTTCCATAGTGATTTCTGAAACTGAGGACACAGACCAGCAGAGCAAACTGGTTGTCCCCCCTCCTCCCACTGTTGCCCCTCCACCTCCTCCGCCTCCACCTCCTTTTCCTGCTGGAGTCAATCAGTCCAGTGTCTCAGGTGCACAAGCCACGTCAGACAGCTGCAGACCAGGGCCATTTGTTGCTGGATCAGATTATAAACCTCTTCTCCAGACTGAACATGGCACAGATGAGAACCTGAGCAGTACAGCCCTACACAATAGTCCTGATGCTGCGGGAGAAGACGTGGAAAGGTAAGACTGTATTGATGTCATTGATAAACAGACCTCACTGCTAAGAGAGAGAGATTTCTAGTGTTAAGTTGGCGTAAGGGATGCTAAAAGCACAGGGAGATCTCTTATTTCCTTTGCTGGCTGGCCCTGAGAAGAAAATATGTGCATTTTTTAGCAGTCCGTGGCAGAGTTGCATCCCAACACAACTTTTTCCTTAAAAACATCTTTGTGCCTTTCCCTTGTGGTACCTGATGTTTCTCCAGAATGTCATTTGTCATAACCTGCTTTCTACGTTGTTGTCTGGCTTAATATGGCCACTGGAGTCAACAGCTCAGCTAGGCAGCAGGTAGCACTTCATTCTCTCTCATAAAGGCAAACAAGAATTGAGGCTGAATTACAAGGGTTTTACTTTCTTTGTGGATATGTGGACTTTTTTGAGGATTGTAAATCTTACTACTAAAGCTCTCAATTTTRGAGTAAATTTAGCTGGATTTATTTGCGACCTTTAAAATGACATTTCCAGGCTTTGGTTAGTAGATGCTTGGTTTGTCACTGCCTAAGTCTGACACACCATAAAATCAAATTAAGAGCAAGGTCATAATTATGTTTTTTAAACAAAATAGTTGGAAAAAAAAAAAAAGCAACTGGCTTCTTAAACTGTCTTTTCCTTACCACAAGAACCAGTATCTTTCGTAACAACCCAGGAGGGTTTGTCTAGATGCCAGTGGCCTAGAATTTCCCTGAATAGTGAAACTTGCTGGCATGTGCATGTGCCAGTGTTAAATGCCTGTGCTGGCTGCTTCTCCCCCTGCTCTGCCCTTCATTTACATAAAGGATTTTCCCAAGACAGAGAGTACTATAGTGCCGATTTTCATGTCCACGAGTGATGGACTCAACAGCARTAAGATTGTGTTTGCAATAAATAGAACACAATAAATAGCATCATGCTTACAAGATGGAGAGCTTTATACTCCCTTCTATTCTGAGACTCAGCCCTCTGAGCACCAGCAGTATTAGCTGCTCTCATTAGCTGTTGTATACTTAGGCCCATTCCTCAAGAAATAAATCAAAACACTGATTTCTTTACTTAAGCTTTGCAGCTCATCGTTTCAAACTGTTYGCAACTTTTTTTCCTAACACACATACATACATGCATATGTATGCACACATACATTATATGTATTTTTTTGTGTTTGTTTTGATAGAAAGAAGTCCATTTGAATAAAAGGGCTTTTGTTTTCATACTTATACCGTTTGCCTCCCTTTTGTGTTCCATGCCTCCACTAATGTAACATCTCGTTTGCTTGCGAATTAATGGTTTGGCAACCAGAGAAGACGAAGAGGAGCAGGCATCTGCCCAAACACATGCTGAACCAGGGGAGGAAGCTTCGGAAGCCGCAGCCTCTCCAGAGAGTGGAAGCAACAGAGACAGCCACAGCAGTGACTCGGACTCCGATGGGCCTGTACTCTACACAGATGATGATGATGACGACGAAGATGATAACGAAACTGCTGAAAGTAAGCCTCTGACAAGAAGGGTGTTCTGGGAAGGAGTGGCTGCCTTAGAGAATGTATATGTGTTTGAGCTGAGCTGGGTTGGGAGTCCTATTAAGCTGCTGTGATTGCATCTGGATTGATAAAAGGAGTTCTCTGCTTGCATGTAGTTCAAATACTTGTATCCTGCCAGTTTTTGTGCAGCTACTCTGAAGTTGTGGCCTGCAGGGGACAAAGATGCATGACAGCAACGAGTATGGTTGCATAAGATAACTTCAGGTGAATTAATATTTTCCCACATCTGAGAAATGAGGGTCCTGGTTCTCTCTTCTTGGACAGTTGTGATTAGAAACATGCTGGGGTCAGTACAGTGGTGGGAGTAGATCAAGCATTTCATGACTGGAAGTTGAGCTCAAAGGAGCAGATTCATGAAAAAAATGGGATGGAAAAAGACCTCCACATTTGGGCCTCAGTCAGCTATTAATTTGGCTCATCCTTGTCGTGAACCTTTATCCTTAAAACACCTCTGATTTTAACTCCTAATTTAAGGTGAATTTGAGCTGAATTGCACTAGAGATCCTTTTCCTGTGGGTGTGAGGGGAATGAGGAGGTTGTTTCGACATCTCTTCTCTGCCAGTTGAAATGGCTGAGCCCAGAGCATCCAGGTGGCTCCGTGTCATGAAGCCCTTTCCAAGCTGCAGGTTACAGAGCAGCTCACTCCTATGGGAGGGCTAGTTTTCCTTAGGCACTGATCCCACAGCTTCTGGGAGCCACTGCAGGAGCCCCAGGGCAGGGTTCGAGGGTGAGCATAGGTTGTGGTGGACAGCACAGGAAATCCATCAGTCATCAGCCAGCTTCCCTATCTGTAAGTCCTGTGTTCCTCTTTGATCAGAATACTTCAAGCACTGTAGTATCTTTGCAGAAAGAACAAATCACAGTGGATTACATCTAACTTTATAGTTCAGAAATTTTAGCTGGGTTCATGGCTGTATCACCACCCAGCACAGTTCAATTGTGCAAATTATTTGGCAGACATTCTACTGTTGCTGGAAAGGGTTGTCCTGCCTAATTTCTGCTCCTGTCCTGCCTAATTTCTGCTCCCAATGATTCATTCTTCTCTTAGGTCAACACTCATTCTTACTTTTTGATGGTGGCTATTGTTGAGCTGGTTTTCAACAGAATCAGTTCTCTGATCCAGCTCCACAGCAGCTGCACCAACACCATCACTGCAGCAAAGGAGGTGGAAGCAACAAGAAGGTGGGGACAGAGAGAAGGGCAACATACCCCTATCCCCTGCAGTGTGACCTTGTGCTAGAGTAAAATGGGAGTCAAACCATGGCTTGACAGTCTTGCTCACAGCCATTGAGGAGGAGGTGGTTACTGTGCTTAGCTAAGAAGGGTTGAACACTAAAGTACTGTGTCTAATTTCTCTGTACACAAAGAGGATGAGGGAGAATGAAATTTCATTTGTTTGGCCACTGGTCAGGCTGAAGATGAAGCGCCACATAGCTCAGAAGATTGAAGTCTTCTGCAGTTCTGCCTTTGGTTTCAATGTGAACTGAAAATTAATGTATTCAGGCAGCAGCGGAGCTTCTTATGAGAAGTGACATGGGAGCTTCTGGTCTTAGCGAACTGTCCTGCATTGTAAGAAGCCCACCAACATAGAGCATATGCAGTACCCTCAGTCACTATGTAAAGAGACAAGGGAAGGACTAAAAGCCATGAAAAACATGCTTGTTTCCATAGCTGGCTGAAGCTATTGCTGGGAAAATTGAATGGCTGTTGTCTCTATCTGTTCTGTGGATAAACAGATTGTCTCAGTGCCTGGGGCTTCATGCTTAGAATACTTTGCAAGCACAACGAGCACTTTCTAAAAGGTATCTTTTAATTTATGAATTAGTCGATGTAAAAGATGAAAAAGCATTACACAAGAACTAAGCACAGTTAACTTGAAAAAAATAAAAAAGAGAAGAACTGAAGAGAAGATAAAAGAGTGAGAATAATTCTTAAGGTTTAAGAAAAATGAACAGAAGTTTGCTGATGATATAAAATAGGCCAATAAATCAACCTATAATATATCAGATTTCAAAGACACATAAGTGCAGATTTGTCATTTTTATCCTATCACATCACAGATGGTAAGTAATGCTTGTAAAACTACTCTGTACTTTTGGTTGCTAGCTTTTTCATCTGAGTCCTTCAGCTTTTTATTATTGTGAACTGAGTTGAAACTATTTTTCTTCTGATGTTAATTAAAATTCTTCTCCTGCATGTGGGAACAAGGCTGCTTTGGGGATGTATTAAAGTCCCTGCTCCTTAGATCCTTAGATTGTGTCAGTAACCTAAGCATGAATGAACTCGATGTTCCCTCCTCCTTCTTTCCTCAGGCTCTTTGGCAAGCAAAATTCGTCGCAGGGATACTCTTGCTATCAAACTTGGCAACAGACCATCCAAGAAAGAATTGGAAGACAAAAACATCTTGCAGCGCACATCTGAAGAGGAGAGGCAGGAAATCAGACATCAGATTGGAACAAAACTAGTGAGGTATCAGTTGCAGTGTAAATGTGGTTTTACTGAGTAGAGAGACGTAAGAACATAGGGTTCACATTTTAAATTCAGCTTGATACATGCTGCAGGATCTTCATGGTAGAACTGGCTGGAGAACAGTATGTTGTTTTCTCACGAAGCTTTTGTTCTTCGTGGAATAAAACTGAGAGCCTTTGAAATGATTAAAAAAAAGAAGAAAAAAAGAGAAGAAGAGTTAGAGTAAATAGAGTCTATGTTTGTGTCTTTTATCATTTCATCCTTCCCCATCCTCCTAATGCTCTCTAAATGTTTAATTATTCACATACTATTTCCAAAAAAAAAAAAAAAGAAAAGAAAAAACAGCTTTGTAGAATCATTTTTAGTGTGATCACCTCTAAGCCATGTCATACTCTTAATTGCCGTAGGATAGGGATCTTTCTTGACCRGAGAAAATTTCATGAAAAACAGCTAGTTTTGATTTGCAATTTCCAAGCTTCATTAAAAAATTCTTCACAAATGTTAATATGGGTTTTCATAGTTCTCTGAGAATAGACTACAATATCTCTGGGTTTTCACAGACTTGTTCTTTTTTTTTTTTTGTGTGTGTGTGTGTGTGTGCCCAGAAATATTGGAGGATGTTCTGTGTTTGTTAGGGATTACTAAATATTTGGTAGTCCATTCCATAGTGTTACATTACAGAAATACAGAAGCCCTATATGAGCATTTAGAACATGAACTGAATAGCTAGCTGAACTGTGAACTGGATAGCTAGCTAAGTAATTTTATTTAATTCCTTAACAGTAAGAGTGATGCATCTATTGTGTACAATCCCTGGGTCATTTTTGTTCTGCTAATAAAGCAGCATGGTTGTTGTTAGTGATTTCCTGACCAAATTCCAGCTCTCTGGTAATCTCATCCTGCTTATCTGTCTTCTTTGTGGCTTAAACTGAACAAACTGCTCTTTGATTCCTGTCTAAAACTGTCTTGTGAAGCACTGCTGTTCTGCAAGAAAACTGGCACATTCACTGCGTACATTGTTTTGATGATGGGCTGTCACACACCTTGGCCAGTTTCAGGGCTCTTCGCCAAGTTTGTTTGAGTTACAGTTTCTGAGCTGTGTTCATGTCTGGTATTACAGCCAAGTTTAATATGTGTTCTTTTGAAACTCGTAATGTTGTAGTCAGTACCTGGCAGCATAAATATCTGATTCAAAGCACGGAAACCAAGGGAAATCTTTCTGACAGTTTAATAAGTGTTGGATCAGATCGTAATTTTGGAACTTCCTACAATGTGGGATTGACCACTTGTTCTAAACCTGCCTGTCTTTTCTTCAAAATCTGAGAATCGCAGCCATGGAATGGAAGCTTTCTACRTAATTTGATCTAGTGTTTGAGGTGTTAAAAAGAACGTCCAGGGTTAAAATTCTTTGCTAGTACTCCCCCACCGTGTAACTGAAAGCCGCTCTCTCCAGAGCTGTGTTTTGTCACCTGCCTCATCTCAGAGCTCACCTCCCTAGTCCTCTTTAATGGCCTGCCACATGGTTCCTCTGCTTCCACCCCTGCCACTTGGTTTCCTGAGGCCAAAGATATTCTGTTGTGCTAGATGGTGAGGCTCTAAGACTCTATATTCAACTATAAGACAAGTGCAAAGTTACTTTTACTGTCGTAATTCCTCTTTCCCTTTTCCAGCCACAATTTGCTTCATGAGAAACACCTTTTAAGTTGTATTACAACTAAAAAGTTTCTGTTTGGATTTGGTTTAAAATCAGTTGCTTACTTTGTTCTCACAGGAGACTTAGCCAGAGGCCTACAACTGAAGAGCTAGAGCAAAGAAATATCCTAAAACGTAAGTATTTTATGCAAATTTCAACTATTATTTACTTAGAAAATGATTGCAACAGATGTAGGACTTGTAAGGAACCTCATCATTGTTACTCTGTTGTTAGTGTCATAATGGGACAGAAATCATGCTGTAGAAAACAACATGTCAACGCTAGACCTGTATGTTAACTTGTAATGACAACTGTGAGAATTGCATATATTCAAGATGCCAAATTTTGCTGGTCACAATCCCACTTCTTCAAGCCATTTCCAAAGACCAAGAATGAAATGGATACTCCTTACAAGTAGTTCTAGGCTATTCCACCTAATAGTTAGGAGGTGGAATAGAGTATATCAGGAGGAGGTGGGATACAAGGAAAGGTGAAGTAGAAAGAGGACAGATGAAGTGTTGAGGGAAAGATGAATGGGTGTATGCCAGCTGCGTGTGCGAGTTTGCCTTCATATCCCCTCTTCACATAAATGTATTTGTCTTCTTCTTTACTGAAACCTGCACAGGATATTCTCAGTATCTTCTGCTAATGAAATCCTTCCTCGGTGTCCTTGGTGAAGAATTTGAACCTGTAACTCAAATAGCCTGGGGCAGAGGAATGAAGAATGTTGGGCATATAGCCACTATACCTACTCTCCAAATTATTTACATTGCTTTTGTTCTTAAGCTGGCCATCTCTTTAGAAGACACATTTGTTTCTCTTCCTTTATGAATATGTTCATAATATGTATGTTATCTAAACAAATACATTAAGAATTGCCATGGCAATGTCCTTCTAGCCCTCTGCCCTTTCAGCAGAAGTGGCTAGTAGTTGATGCTAAAAATTTAAGAAATAATTATTTCCCAGGAATAATTAAGAAATAATTATTTCCCAGGAAGCAAATACACTTGGAAGCCTTTCACATATAGCAGCAAATGCCTCAAATCATCTATTCTTAAGGTATAAAACCTTTTCATGTTTCTCTTCCTGGTGGAAGAGAAGGAAATAGGCTGTTTAYCTGGCGAAATCCATGGAGTGATGGCAGCATCACCTGCTGAGGCTTAGCAAATCAAGAGGAAATTACAGTTACTGGTTTTCAGGCCACCATTCCTGCGAATTAAATGCTGTTGCTGTTGTCTGATCTCTCAAAAGCCAGATAATGGCCAAATATTAGTCAAAAAGGGTATGAGACACAGATTAGCCAGAAGTGGGAAGTTAAGAGTTCAGGCACTCCAGTGCACAGGAGTGACTTCAAGAGACTGCTGTCCAGTACATACTCCAAATAGATGTTCTGCAGGCATCTTTTGGATCTATATATCACATAGTTCTAATAAGGATAAAATGTGAAACATGAATGCATTTTCTATGATAAACAGCACATGCTGGAGCATGTGACAATGATATTTCTAAGACATGTTTGGTGGTCATGGCTACAGCCGCTGAGCTSGGAACACCAGAAAGGTTTCCCTGTTGCAGTCCTTAGACAGCTAATCTCTAGATAACTAATCTAGCAACATACCTGTAATCTATTTAAAATCACCTTTGCCATTTACCACTTTTGCAATAAGTAGTTCAAAATTTGAAAGTAGTTAATAGATTTCTTCTCCTATTTCAGCTTGTTATTTTATGCTTTTGGCAGCACTTTGCACTCAGTGCTTTTCACTGTTCTGTCATCTGTAACTGCTGCTCCTGTTAGTCTGTGCTAAAGGAGCAAAGGAGAGCAAAAAATAATTGTGGAAAACTAGAATTATTATAAATTATCGCAAAAAAAAAGTAGAATAATTGATGAGAAGATGCAAATCCAAGTCCTGCAGCTTTTTGCTCATTACAGAGATAAAAAATATTTTGAATTGTTATCTTTAAAAAGAAAAAACAATGTTTTGGTGACAATCTAACTCAGAGCCCTTGACAGAGAAAGATCTCTCAGCTCCTTAAGCATTTGTATATTTAGCACAATCATTACATTCCCTTCCCGGGGATCATTTGAAGATGTTTACATCTTTTAGATGTTTGTGTTGTTGAAGGCAACTTTTGTGAGTAAGTTTGTATTTTATAGAGCTTTACTTCTTCTATTTTTAAGCAGTGGGTGGGGAGAAGGTATTATATTATTGCATATATGGAAACTACAACTAAGAGAAATTAGTGTTTTGCTAATATTTATCAGACTTTGAGGTTAAAGTAAGTTGCAAAGATCCAAATATTTACTTCAGAATTTAGTCCAGCCCAAAGCTTTAAGGAGGTTCAGAAAAAGTCCTTTTTTTTTTTTTTAATTTCCAGTTAAAGTGAGGAAATACATGTTAAAAGAATATTGTTTTGATAATATCTGCAGATAAACACCAGTTACTGAAAATCCTGCGGCTGAATGACTAGCCTGATTTCTGTGAAAACAATTTGAGGTGAAAGTATTCAGACTTCTGATTATTCTTACACTAAAACAAAAAGGTTGAGTGCTTGAAGATGAATAGATAAAGTCCCATGATTTTAACACAGACAATTTTCTTGTGTACTGGCTTTGAGCTAGTAGTAGTGTTGTATTTTGACAAACTTTCTGCTCTTCTGGGAATTGCAGATTAGGGTAATAGTATTTTTTATGCGTCTGTGAAGGACAGTGAACTTCTTGGACTGTACAGCAGCAGGCTTGTCAATATTAGCTTTGTAGAAAACATGGTTTAGTTCTTGGTGCTTGTTAAGGAATATAAATTATTATCTTTGTAAAATGAGGAAGAGAAACTGCTTTTTGCGCTCCACAGCATTCCAAGAGGCAAGTACTTTGTTTGTCTTTTCTTTTTCTTTCCCTAGCAAGCCCGCAGAGAAGTTTAAACATAGCTAATCCCATAGGGACGCAGTGGAAAGTTCAGATTTACGCTGCTGGAGTACTTTCTGGTTAAAAAAAATAGCCGTGAGGCAGAGCAATTTCCGTTTCTTTCTGTCCCCTTCTGCTATGAAGCAAATGTCCCCCAGAAGTAGATGAGGACCGTAGTTAATAGAGCAAAACTTGCAGAAGCAATGACGGTAGAGATGCCAGGAAAACTATTTGTTGCTGTTTGCATTGGTTGTTGGACTTTGTGACTCCAAGGACATGATAAGTGCTTCTAAATAAAACTCTTTTAGCTAGGAGCCAAACGCTGGTTTGCCCAGTGTGCTCATGCAGCTCCTGGGGCTCCTGCAAGCAAAGGGAGATCACTCAGCTGGTCTTTTGCCAGTACAGCAGCAGGAGGACATCTGAGGAGAGGACTGTGCTGRGAATGCTGTGTTTTTATTTTCTTTCTCCACATCCTACAGATTAGATCTGCTCTTAAGGTGGAAAGCATGCAGCAACGTGTTTCTGTGCATTAATGTTTTCCTGTTTGGGCAAGTCAGTTCGTACCTGCAGCTAATATTTGGCACCCTGGGTGGAATTTTCCACAAAGGAGCAAGGAGCCCAGGCCCATTATTTTTAGCACAACACATGTTCTTAAATCACTACAGCAACTTTCAAAACTTTTACCTTAAAAGAGCACAAATACCTCATAGGTGTTCTTGTTTGCAAGAACTTGTACCAGGGCAGTGGTTCTCTAACACTCAGCTTAAAACAACACTTTACTCAGMAGTTTTGAGGTTTGGACTTTTAAAGTAGGGGTTCTAGGCAGGGTGGTCACTGCCATAAACCAAGGGCCAGTCTGCTGCATTCGGATAAAGAATATTTGCAATTTATATTACACAAAATTGTCAAATATCAGCTGTTAGAATATTACCAAAATCAGATTCAGGTTATTAGGAGCAGCTGACAGATTTCAGTCCTTTTTCTTTAGCTCCGGAGTTTTAWTTCTCAGAATTACAAATCATTAATATAGAAACCATGGCCTTTGCCCTGCCCTTTCACGCAAAGGACCCTCTGTTGCCCATGGGCTCAGTCCCCACCTTGTCTGCCTGGCAGTGGGGAGATGTCCTGGTGCCCTCAGTGGGAGCTTTCCTCTGCAGCGCTGGGTCCAGCCTTCAACACCAGCTTTCTTCAGGCTCTGCCTGCCCAGGCCCCACCTGCCCAGGCCCCCTGCCCCGCAGCTAAACTGACTCTCCTGCTCRTCTCCTATTTCTGCCCCTTTTCCCGAATCCATCCTTCCGGAATTGCAATAGTGGGAGCACTGGTTTTGCATCCTACAGTGGTGTATGTAACTTAACAACTTGGGGTAGTTAGCTTCTTAAATTTTATCTTTCCAAAGTACTAGATGGGTAGCATTTCAGGTGGGCCAAGCTGCTAGCAGGTGTTTCTTCAGATGCGAATTAAGCAGTGCGGGTGTCTACTTCCCACATCAAGCTTCTTAGTGTTAGGAGATGCAGTGATTTAAAGACAGCAAAGAAATGTCCAGATATGTCTAGTCAAGAGCGTATTTTACAAGCAAAGTTAAAGAAAACTTAGTACAGGGATGTGTGTGTTCAGTTGTATATTTTGTGTCTGCTACTGGAGAACTTCGGAGCTGTAGGATTTAAAAGACTCTCTTCATGAAAGGAAAGTTTTTTTATGTCAAAGAAAACTTTTGTAAATGGAACCCCAAATTAATAGATTTGTGTTACTTACAAATATGTGTTTATTGATTGCAAAGACAGGATGTTTAAAGAAAATCTGAGGTTTTAAAGAAAATCTGTTTCTTCAGGTTGTAAGAGAAAAAACTATTAATAGATCATAAATTGTATTCACATTTCAATATCTCGGTAAAATAAACATTGACAATAGATCCAACCTGGCAGCAGGTCTGCCAGTTTGGATCTTGCTAGTGGAAATTAGAAGTTGATATTAAAATCTTCCAGGGCGGTGCTTGCACTGGCATTGCCTTTTTGTTACTGTGACTTTCTGGGTTTTTTTATTGTCTTATTTTATCAATTGTTGCTCTTCCCTTTTCCATCATATTCCTTTCACAGTAAGTCTGTGGATCATCAAAGGAAATCTGAAAGTACTGTGAGGTGAGGTGGTCTGTCTTCAGTATTACCCATGTAAATCTGGAGCAGGCAGAAGGAGAGTCCAAGAGTGATGAGTTCAAGCTGACTTCATCTTCCTTTTGGTCAARCTGCATGTAAGCAGGCTGCATGATGGCAGCTTGGCCATAGCAGATGGGGCACATCATACCAGGACAGGATGTAAAACTGCCTTTTCATCTGTTTGGCCATGCCCAGAATGGACAAATTAACTCCTTTAAATTTATAATTGGCCTTGAGGCATGTCTGGGAATCCGGAACCCCCAGCCTTGAAGAGAAACAGGTCAGAATTTCACAAACAGATGTAGGTGGTGTATTTTAGCCAAAGCAAAGGTAGACTTGCACRTGAGCATCAGAGGTGGACTGATAAAGCAAATAATATTCCTCAAAGTGTGCATCAATTTGGGGAAAAAAAAGCTAAGTCGGCACAAATATGCCTTTGTAAATTTTCTTTTCACTGGCACTCAAGAAATCAAGTTTGGTTAGCACTGAAATTCATGAAAGTTGCAATTACATGCCCTAATACTCACAGAAAATGTAGATGTAATTATTTTCCTTATTTTTTAGGATCTCGAATTTGTACATTGCATTTGGTCTAGTTGGTGGCCCTTAACTAAGAGGACCTGCGTACTGAACACTTAAAATCATATACTTGCATTAAAAAAACAGAAATAAAGAAAAAGAATCTAACAGAAACATTTTGCACTAAATACCTACTGTAAAAAAAAAAACAAAAAAAGAATTAATTCATTGTATTTTGTAGCAGTAGAGAACACGAGGCTGATTCAAATACTCTGAACAAACTTTTTTTCTCAGCTCTTGCAAGCACAGTTAGACCCTAAGCCTAATGGCTTGATGGAAGTAACTGTAACGCTAGGGCAAGTAATTAAAATATTAGGCAACTCTTTCAGGCTACTTAATTGTTCATATACACGAAGGAAATGACAGAAGTTTTCTTCTTGCTATGTTCCTGGCCCATAGAGATGACTCTAGATGTCCACAGAATTGGGGAAAAATGAGGATAGAGAAAAGAAATGAGAGCACATAAAATTCAAAAAGCAGGGATTATATCCAGCATRGCCCAGAAATGTCAGCAAACGTAAGCCTTGACTTTAAGTCCTGCAGCTTTCAGCGAAGAGAAACACAGTGTGTGTGGTTACAATACTTAAACATTCATTGCTTTTTATCTCTTCCATAAACAGAGAAGAATGAAGAAGAAGAACAGGAAGCCAAAAGAGAAATAAAACGTAAACTCAGTAGAAAGGTGATGATTTTTTTTCTATTGTATATTTGTGTACATAATAGAACACTAGTGTTATTTTTTGTAAGATTCTGAAATTCAGTGTGTATACACTGCTGCAAATCTCCACCAGTCAAATTTCAAAGGCAGCACCAGCCAGAGCCGTCTTGGGGGAAACTCCATTCTGTTCTGTTTCCCGTATTTTGAAAAAAATGTAGGACTGTCTGGCTGAGCTTCCTACTTGTTTGTATGACAGGGCATGAGCAAGCATGTATGCAAGCACAAGCATGAGCACTTCTATCATATATGTTCAGGAGCAGCCACATGCGTAGATTCAGTCTTCCTTAGAACACCACATATGTCAGCAAGAGAGAGCAGAAAAGCAGCACAGACCTAAGAAATCCCTTCACCACTCTCCTTTCCACAAGTCAGTCAGCTTGGCTGCTCCCAGTGGGGTTACATGTCTCATTCTTCTTAAAAATAAAGCAGTGGTTCTGCAGTTCTGACTTTTGGAGACAGTTCTGGGAGAGGATGGGTGAAATTTTCCTAAGTCCTCCTAGTCTGCCCTTCTCTCTAAGGATTCATTGGCAGCATTTTGTTTGCTTAATATAATTGTCCTTAGTTAATTAAACGTGAAGGTTGTTTGAAGTGACTGAAAAAATGTGGTTGGGCATCCTATTAATGAAGACAGATTCCTATTTACTCCCCTCAAATCTATTTTAGTTAGACCTTGCTCTACAAATTCTGATTATTTTCTGTATTGTAGTTGAACTCAGCAGACTAATTGTTAATGAAAATGATGCTATTGTCTACTRGCGTAAACAGTGTGAGAATTGCAAAGTCACAATTAATATTCCGGGGATAACTGTCAGGATTCTTTGTGACCTGTCTGACAAAGACTATTTTTATAATTGAAAAAATTAGGTTGTGCTGCTTCCCCATTCCTGTGCTGAGCTCCCAGGTTGGTGCCTTTTTTTAGACACCTGAAAGTGACCTTATTTAGAAACATCATTAAAGTTCTCTTGAGATTATATCATTTCCTCCACTTTTATTTTGTTTTGTCTTATTAAACTTGCTATTTTCTGCCTGCCACTTGTAGCTCAGTCTGAGRCCTACAGTGGCTGAACTTCAAGCAAGAAGAATCCTCCGCTTTAACGAATACGTGGAGGTAACGGATTCTCCAGACTATGACCGGCGTGCAGACAAGCCTTGGGCCAGGCTGACGCCCGCAGACAAGGCAAGGGTCAGATGTAGATTATAAGAAAATTCTTAACACTTTTCATTTTCAGGAGAGTTTCCTCTTCTTTGACATCTGTTGATGTTGGCCTCATGAATGACATCTGCTGGAGGCAGGGAGCTTGTCATGTTATGGTACTTTTCTTGCCTGCAGCTAAGAGAAAGCTCTCATGTCTTTTTGAGTGTATTTGTCAGCACCACTGCGGCAGTTCAGGCCAGAATTTCCTGCATTTTTAAATCTTGTGAAGACACTCACACACTGTTAGGAAAGGACAGCTGCAATATGTGAAATTCAGGCAGGGTTTTTGCAGATAGAAGCCTATATCGGTATCACTAAAATTTACAACTCCTTCAAGTGAAAAAGGCAGGAGCTGTTCCTTCCTCCTAAGGATTCTTGGACACAACTATCAGTCTTGGGGTTTGCTGTATATGCATAGTAGTCCTTGGGAAGTTTGCCTCAAACATACTGTAGTTAAAATAGTAGTTCCTCTCTGCATGTGTACAGAGAATGAAACAAGCTATTTTGTAATTTTAAGGACAAATCAAGATGCCACAAAATATTCTTCCATTTTCCTCATGCAGCTCTTCATAAAAAAGAAAGCTGTTGGATTTCTATACCARAAAGTGTGGGCCTTTTAAATCATGATTTTGAGTCAAATTCTGTGGAAATCCTGTGATGTGTTCCTGGAATAAGAAGTGAGATGTACCAGAACCCATTGGCTTTTGGCTGAGGATTGTGAAGCCCTGATTTTATTTCAGCCTGTATTTTAGTATTGATGCCAGTTTATTTGGCAACTAAAGAGCAACGCCATGTCAAGTGAAGATAGAGACATTAAAAATGTTCCTGCTGTTACTGCTGGATTTCAGTTCTGGGAGGTGCTGAGCACCCCCTAGTCCGGTGCACCCAGCACTTCACCCGTTGGCTTAGGTTGATCTTTCCAAAAAACAAGTGCCAACTGCACTGGAACAAGCAGAGAAGTTGCCTATTGAGTTTAAGGGTGGCGTTTTTAATCTCAAACTGTTTTGTAATAATCCGAGTTGGTTCTGATGCCCATGCTTGTTTGTCTCAGAAGAAAGATGAAAGATGCAGGTGGTCTGGAAACCATATTTTCTTTTATTATTTTTCCCAAAGATTTTTTTCTCTAGTTCTAAGGGGAGCATAGACTGTACTGTAACAATATTATGGAGCTGGAGCTCTGGTGTCTTTACTGCTGATATGSTGTTCAAAAACAACTCTCTATTTCCTTGTTATTACAGCAGCCTTGTGCAAGAATGCTGTTGCAGCTAAACAAAACCATACCCTGCTTGAAATGAAGTTTCTGATTTATGAGGCCTCAGTCTGGTGATCCTGTTTTTTTATCATGTTCCCTGTCTGCTGTGCATTGAAAGGAATGCACACCAGATGAGATTTCTTTAAGGATCAATGAAATGATACTGTTTTTTATTTAAAATGATGAAAGAAGAAAGGGAGTGAGAAAGAATAAACTAGCATTTCTTTTAACAGTGAGGGTAGTGAGGCATATATCATAGAAACCAAAGGCTCTTCTACTATATTACAACTTTCTCGAATATTACATGAATTACCTAATGAAGTGAGTCTTTTAACATGAGCAACAAGGACTGATATTTATAAAGTGAATTGAATTTCTGCTGTTCTTTGGCATCTGTCAACTGAAAACACAAGCTTGAAATGTCCAAATATTTCATGTCATTTTACATAAAAGTGATCAAGCAAAATGACTAATTCCCACTTGAAAAGTGGTATTCATCTTGCGTTCCTGAAGCCCTGTCTCCAGTCGGGAGAGAGAAGGATCCTGCTGTTTGTACAATTGCTAGGCAAGAGGTGTGACTCACTGGCCTCTCTGGGGCTGTGCATGGAGATAATCCCCTTGCAGATGCAGCCTGAACAAGTGGYTTTCGAGGTAACAGAATCTCTTTCCCTCTTTCATCTGTAGCAAGTGTCACGTTGCAGTGTGTGCCCCATGAGTTTTAGGTTTTGTTGTTGTTGTTGTTTATCTATGATGTTTGATGCTTTGGGTTTCTTTCTAATGTATTACTGCTACAAATAACTGTAACTTAAAAAGTCATCCCTTGCGTATGATTAGAAGTGTATGAGGGAGGTGAACTACACTGAGGGTGACTGCAGGGGGTCTGCAAGGCTCTTCTCAAGCTCTTTGCTTCCCTAGAGATTCATATTCCTTACGGTTGTGTGTATCACTGTTGTTTATTAGGCAGCAATACGGAAAGAACTGAATGAATTCAAAAGCACAGAAATGGAAGTACATGAGGAAAGCCGGCAGTTTACCAGGTGGGTGATCCTTTTTATTGTTGTTTTGGCACAAGTCAGAGTGTGGCAGCTGCACTCTGCCTTCCTGCATGTCCTCTGAAGTTGTGTTGGGATTCCTTGAATGGGTTCCTACCTTGGATTCTCTGAATCTTGAATCCCACCGCTGATTCTATCAGGATTCCCAGTATTGCTGATGTGATTCTGGGAACTGGCTAGTTGATACAATAGTGAAGTAAATCACTTACTAAATGGAAAAAGATTGTTCTTCAAATCTAAAAAAAAAAGCTTTTCACTGAACTTGGCATTTCTCCCTGATTAAATTATTCCTCAAACACAGATGGGATGTCCTCTCCCAGAACTGCTGTCCTGTTCCCAGCAGAGGAAGAGAGCAGTCCACTCTTCCTCATGAAGGTTTATGTTTTTGATATTGCATTTGGAAAGTGAAATGTAATGATGTGCTGAACTTCAGAAAAGTTCATCACTATTCTGGACACTTCCTAACAGTCACCTACTCCTGGCAGCAGTTTCTGGAGAACTCAACAAGCTGTAATATTCTTTGTTTTGCACTTGTTAATGTTTTAGTCTGAATATGTTTTGCTGTCTGTCTTGGATAACACCAAGATGTTTTAAAGCATTAACATTTAAAGAGATTTAAAGCCTCCACAGTTTGTAGCAGGTCTTCAAAATTTGGAAGAGTTATTCCTAGGAGATGCTTTCTGTCATCCTCATGACATTTCTGCATACCCATTAGAGTTACAAAGGCTAAAAAATGCCACTAGTAAGCAGAATCTGCTGTTAGAATTAGCCACCGTTGCATACATAATATTACAGTCTTCACATTCACACAGAATTAAAACATCAGAGAAGTTAGATATCAAAAATTGCCCTAGATTATGTCTCTCTCTGTTTCTTTTACTGTTTCAGTTAAAATTATGGTCGTAGGAGTAACTGTAATTAAAGACAGTGTTTACAATGCAAATTCAGTGAGACCCATGAGTTTGGTGATTCCTGATTTTTCTTAATTCAGTGCTTGATTTCATAACCTGGCTAATGCTTTTTCCAAAACATGGATTTTTCATTTCACTTGAGGGAAATTATAACATGAATAAATTCTCAAAAAAAATCAAATCGATTTCACAGATGAAAAATTGAGCAAGGATATGAAACATGAGGCAGAATTTTAATCTAGTGTTGCATTCTAATTACTAGAAAAAGCCMTTTTCAAACACGGATTTGCATGTTTTCAATTGGCTTCAGTTGTCATTTTTTCTTCAGGGTAGATAGTATACCTTCTTCAGGAGGTATAAAAATACCTCCTTTTACAAAATACATTGTAATACATTACAAAATATTTACCTTTTGCAAAAATACAATTATTTTAAGAATGGACTACACAAAGGAGGGGAAATTAGCAGGAAGACAATTCTCTCTGAGAGAGATTCCTTTGTTCCCTCCCCACCCCTTTTTTCACTGGCTGTGTTGTGGAACCACTGCATAGAGGCCAGGAGAGGAATCCTAGAAAAATTCCATTATGGGTATAATTAGATGTGAATGTTTCAAGTCATTCACAATTTTGAAAATAAAATGAGAGATTCTGTTTTCTCATGGTCCTCTCATTAAAAGTGCAGCCGTTCACCACTATTTTTGGACTGACGTAACGAAAAGTATGGTTTGTTTTAAGGGAATAACAGAGAAAACATTGTAGCCAGAGGATGAGTAGGATTTTAAATTTTAAGAGGTTATACAAAATGAAAGGTACTTGCATTGGCAATTGACAGTCTGTGATAAGATGAGATAATAAGGAAGCTGCCTCTCAAACAAAAATAGCTTATAATATTAGGTTAGATTAGATTATTACATAATAACCGATACAAGAAGCTCTATTTTTATAATCAGTTTTACGGTACCTTTGAATTGTTCAAATTTGATATTAAACTTCAGAAAGAAAAAGCACTGGTTTTCATCATTCATGATTTACAGTAATGACTCTTAGTTGAAATGTTCCTAGTACAGGAACATTTCAGTACATGAGCTTTATTTGGTCTTTTATTTCATAACAGAATCCAAGAAACAGAGTTTCTAAAAATAAATAAATAAATAAAAGTTTGGGAAAAGGATATTAATAGATGCTAATAAAATACTTCTAATGGAAGTCCTACATATAGTCAAATACATTGTTTTTCTACACCATTTTTAAAAAGCCACAAGTCTTTTTCGTAATATACTGTACCCTCACGAAGCAGACCAGCTGCTTACTTGTGAATACCAGCTGTTGCATGCACCTCCTTTGCTTACCTACCTGAAAAATGCACCCTGTGTCATACTGTGCTGTGGTACCACATATGTGTTGCTTATTTTCTTTCCTCAGCTCTGCAACTGTTAAGAGAAAATACATCAATCGAAACCTTACAGAATCCGAGTCAGGTGCATCGTTACCAGTGCTGCTTTAAAGTTGCTGCATTTTTTATCCCATTATGAATGCACTTACTTTTAAAGCCGTATAAACAGAGGTTTAGAAGGCTGGTAATAGCCGATGACCTGATGTGAGAGCAGAATCAGGGTAGGTGTCATTACTATTTGAAATAATATATAACTTTACGTTTTTAAATGATTYATCATTTCAGGTTTCATCGTCCGTAATTTTTGGCTACATCCCATATTTCATGCAGCAGTTTTCTTTGGGGAAATCGTTGCGTCCTGAAGACTGCAGATTGCACTGGAACTTGACTGAGTGTGAGTGTGTGTTGGAGCTTACCCTGAGCTGACGAAGGATGTGGCCCTCATCTTAATCTGTGAACAAAAGATGTGACCAGGAGGTGGAATCCTATGAACTAAGAAGTATCTCAATGTTAGGAAAGCCCATGGTCTCTGGCTAGCCCACAAAGACAAATCCATGGTCTCTTCCATCGGAGCTGGATGAGACRGGAAGAGCTGAAGACGATCGCTGGGGAGCCCGAGAGCCTCTTGCCAGGAGCTCCGTGGACCTTAGAGGGTTGTCACTGAGGGTGGCCGAGCAGAGGGACAGTGAAAAGGACCGAGAGAGTGCGGGATGGGAGACTCCACTTGCCAGTCAGCAGAGAAAAGTGGAACGGATGGAACTGTTACTGATATTCTTGGCCAGTGGGAGGAATTATTTAAAAAAAAATCTGAGCGTATGAGCAGCTGTGCATGTGTGTTTTTAGTGGCTGCAGCCTGTCTTTGCAAGATAGGAAGCCACAAGTCCTCATATCATCAGTACTTTAGTGATGAACTGTAATTTTCTCTGGTGCCAGTAAACCCAGTTGCCAGAAAGTCCTAGTATAACTCAGATGTCTCTTTTTTTTAATTCTGGTGAGCATGCTTCAAGAAAATACATTGAACATTCATATGGAGCAAGTAATTTTCTTTTTTTCTTTTCTTTTTTAATGTTGGCATACATTGGCTTCTCAGAAGTGCACAGATAGGATTTGAAGAATAAAAAATGACACTATGAATGCAATAGAATGATTCATGTTTAGGAACACTCCTTTCTGTCACTTGCTGTCCTTCTAAACTATGGCAGGCATTAGTGACAACTGTGACACCATTCTAGTTTGAATCCAAACTCAAATTGAAATTGTGCAGAAAGGTCCTTTCTAGGAGGTTGGAGCAGTGATTAATAATGTGACTTTTCAGGATTAAGAGCTGTGTTAGGTTGAGTCTCTTGGACTGCTTCTGGGAATAACTCAGAAATGAATCAATGTTTTCAACCGAAGGTTTTGTAAAATTAACAGAAAATCCTTAGAGTGTCTGCAGCCTCTTTTTGTTGTGTCTGAAGAATGCTTATTAGAATCTTATTTTTTTTATACTATATTGAAATTGTATATGTGAATACAGTACTATTAAAATGAAGTGATATGGAGTGTGAAAGGCAATACATGCTTTTTCTAAGTTGGCCCGAAGGCCTATTAAAAAGCCTGTGGCGTTGTTTACACTAAGAAACTCTGTCTTATATTAGCACTTATTTATCCTTTGAATTAATGTACACAACATATTTGGGGACCTGGAAATCACATATGCATACATTTAATGCAGTATTACAATATATATGCTATTTATCCTTTCTAATGTGTGTACATATTACAATTTATTTTGTCTTTTATGTGCCCGTGTTTAGTTTTAATTATGTAAGGTTTTTTTCAGGCAATAAAAGTCTGTGTAGATGTGATTTTTACCTCAGAACCTCCAGTAGATCCTTGTTGTTAGTTGATAAAATTGAATATTGTTCTTCTAGATGTCAGTCTAAAGGCAGGAAGGCAATTTAGCGGCTAGAATCAGATTCTTTTACTTTACTGATAAATACAGCAACACCAGGTTTGCATAAATTTTGTCAATTATTTTAGTAAAGAGCACTTCAAGTAACAAGGGAGTACTTTCCAACAACCGGCATTCTGTTTATTTTGAAACAGGTGGACAAATGCTTTTTTAAGAAGATAGGTTTATATTACTGTTAGGATCATTTACATTCTAGTGAAAGTTCAATAACGCCAAGACGCAAAAACATCAARAACCAAATAAAAACCATCTACATGCTTGTAGCAAAGAAAAAGAGCTAGCATCGTCTTTTAATGGAATCAATAAGACACATTAAGATTGCATTTCCAGAAAACAATTTAGATTCTATAATGCCATCATTTTATAAATATAGAAACACTATTTCTGCATCAAGGAAGCAGGGAAAGTGTATACTTTGGCACTAAATCATACAGACGTGGTTAGGCCATTAGAGTTGAGAYTTGTCAGCAATTCTAGTAGAATGCTTGTTTTTATTTTTAGGATTTGAAAACACTAAATTGTTCTCCTGCATAAACTTTTACTAGTTTTTGTTGCCAAATTTAGAAATGTTTGTTCAAAATCCTATAAAGGCCACCAACTAGGTGGACTCTGAAGTGTGCAGTGTTTCACTTTAAAGGGAACAAATGGAGCAGTTAATAGAGCTCAGAGTTGCCTCAGACATCTGAAAGAAGCCAAGATGCTACATGTGGAAAAGCAGCCATTGCAAAGGCATAAAAATAATATCTTTGACAAAGAAGTTAGTTGACATGCCAGCATATGTAAGGGCTAAACACGTGAACTAAACTCGCTAGGCTCTTAGAATTAAGTTATTGCGTTAATTTTACAAGAAAACATTCCTCTGTACTGGACCCGGAACAAGAATGGTGGGGATTGTGCCAGCTCCTCATATAGGAATTAAAACACAAAGACAAGAATTCAGCTTGGGACTTCCCAAGGACTTCCCCAAGCAACACTTCGCCATAAGACATGTGGGTACCAAGGTAAAGAATCACTTTTACTTTCTCTGTCCTTCTGTTTTTTTGGGTGGGGTTGATTTTTTTCCATTTTTTTCTTTTTTTTTTTTTTTTTTTTTTTTTTTAGTATCCACTACAATCCACTGCCAGAAGCAAAGTAATAGCTGAAATAGGGATGCTGAGCTGCTGCTTTTTTTTTTTTTTAATGTACAAGGGGTAAATAATCAGATGCATTCTGATTATTTATGAGTATCATAATGCTCATTATGAATTTCTCAGCAATTCAACAAATCAAATTTACATAACTGGACAGAAACAGTTGCCTTTATTGGGACTTAAATAGATAATTATTTGCAGAATTAGAACTATAAACTATCCACTGTGTCCATGCACACACATAGAATTGTATATACTGTTTTTATATTGTAAATATCAATTGGCAAAAGAACAACAGCTATACAGTGCTATCCATGCAATAAGAAAGTAATGAGATTTTGGTATGTCACTGCATTTAATGAAAAAGTTTTCTTCACCTTATTGAGCCRCCTAAAATCAGGTTTCTGCTGTATCTCTTGGACTTTTGTATTGATTACTGTAAATATCTTTTAAAGTTGCTATTAGTGCCAATTGGAAAGAACATGTTGTGTACCTTACCCTCCAGGATACTGCATAGCTGTCAGCAGGAAAAATTGGAAGTGCTGGCAAAGTCGTGACTGAGCTATCCTTGGAGGGGAAAAAGAAAGTTTTAAAAAGAAGGAAAAAAATAACACTTTCAATGTAACACCTAACAGTCCATTTGGAAGAAATGAGGAAGAGAGGAGAGGAGAGGAGAGGAGAGGAGAGGAGAGGAGAGGAGAGGAGAGGAGAGGAGAGGAGAGGGAAACAACTAATTTCTTCTTTACAAGACGAAWTGAAACAGTTTTAGAGTGTCTCTATGACCTTTTATGTAATTCATATAGAGAAATCTTTGTAAGTGAAATCAGATACTTCCAAAGAAAAGATAACTTTTTGAAATTCCTCAATTTGTGATGYGTGCCTAGACGCAGGAAGTACAGTGTTTGCCCTAAACAGAATCATAGAACCCTTAAGGTTGGAAGGGACCTCTAGAGGTCCCCTAGTCCAACCCCCTGCACASGCAGGGTCACCTCGAGCACGGGGACGGGCCTGTGTCCAATAYGTCAAATACGAGTGATTCCAAGTTGTGCAGGGCCAGGAAGCGCCTCTCTGGAAAGCCGCGGGAGGTGCTTGCAGCCGCCTGTGGGTCTGCAGGGCTGAGGGCGCCTGTGTGCGCGCTGGCGGCCGCCTGGAGCGGGGTGCCGGGGGGCCGTGGCCGGCGCTGAGGCCTGGCCCTCCGCGCTGCGCCRCGCACGGCTCCCCGCTCTGCCCTCGTGGTGCTGCCATCGGCACCGCGGCCTCGGCTGCTGGCCTGTGAGAACCCCCGCAGGCAGCCACCGGCTTACTTCTTTTTCCCGAAAACCAGTGAAAGCTGTGAAATGAAGGGAGGAAAAGTCGCGGATACTGGGCTCCTCCTTCCAGGTGAGATTCTGATTGGTGTTTACTGGTGCGCTGTTTCCTGAGAGTTACTTCAAACCCAGATCCCGTGAACRGTAACATTGCAGCTGTGCCGGAGAACTTGTTTCTGAACAGTTGTTCTTTAACCTGATCATAGATGTGGCCTGGGCCACACATACCTGTCATCAGAAAATGGAGGTGGGATTCAGCCAAAAGAAGTGAAAAACAGGGCTCTGATCTGCAGCCTGGGAACCAACAGGAACCTGAACATGATCTGCAGTCGACGCTGGGTCCCATSGGCCCGTGTCCGTAGCTGGGTTGGGGACAAACGTGCAGTAGCCTGGGTATGACACAGACCGCCCCTGCAGGACAGTCAGAGCTGGCTGACACTGCCGGCATTTCTAGCCCAGGTCTTAACATACGTGTTAATGCTTTAATGATGAAATAAATCGAGCTAAACCCTACATCTGCATTAAATTGCCAGGTACAGCGGAACTGTGTCATTTCATACTTTCATATCACCTGTTTTTATTCATATCTCAAGGAATTAAGACTTGTGCAACTGCTGTAAATTAAAAGGAAGATAGACTCGGGGTGAAATGTGGAATTAACTTCTCTCCTGCCTTTAGGAGCTCCCAGATTTAGCTCCATTATTGTTATCTTTACTGTACAATGCTCACTGCAATACTCACTGATGGCACCTAGCTTTTAATGGACAAAAAAGAAAAGCAAATCTGAAAGCTGGTTTTAGATTGATATTAAAATATTTTAAGGATCAAATAAAAAGAAAAATAAATTCCTAGAATAGCGTAAAGCTTCTATTTGGAAACGAACATCTGAAAAAAACTTCTGCAAGTGTTACCTATATAGAAAAAAGGAGTGATAGAGTTAAAAACAGCATATTTCACTGTAATATGTAGACAGATTTTTATTTATTCATTTTAATGATTAATGAGGTCTTGTTTCATTTTGTCAATGTTCCCATGTTGGCTTAGGATTTTCATGGAAATAGAGCTCGTATGAACTAGGCATAGCACTAGAGCTCATATCAACCAGGCACCAGAATTTCATTATTTTCTAGAAGCTAAATACTGCTTTGAGTAGGGAAAATGGTATTCTCTGTATTTTTTTTTTCAATTATTAATTCTTTATATAAAAGTCTTTGTCAAATTTAACCATATTTGAACATTGTTATAGTAGAAAGTTGCTGAACGTAACTTCTCTTCCTTTCACTACTTCGTGTGGTGGTATATTGATTCCTAAACTTGCATAAATTTTGGAATTAAAGAAATACTGTGGCTTGGACAATTATTTCAGCTGGTATAATTTTAAATAAAAGAAAAGGATCTTGTGATGGAGTGTTTGAATGGGCATCTAAATATATAAGCAGGGGCAAGGAAGGTGTGGAGATGGCACATGCTAATTACTTGTCACTATTTAAGCAACTCAGTTTTTTTGTAGAAGAAAAATTGAATTCCATTTACAAAAGAATTGTAAATCTAGGAGAGGTATATGAACACTGTAGACCACATTTCTTTACATTTGGGAACCAAAACACCTGTGTCCTTTTTCCGATTTCGTGTAGAACAATTGCTGTAACGGTAAATCATGGCAGTATTAATATAATATGCTGTATCCTATAGATCCATCTGTACCTTCAACGCTGGCCTTTAAAGAACATGTATTTCCTATGGTAGAGCTGAAACGTACCATGRGTGCCCAGGTCTAAGAATCCTTGTGCACTTGACTCTTCCCACTCACGGGTGCAAGGACACCCTGAGGTGACTCCAGCATGGAGGGCTTGATCATCCAGCCACCACAGCTGCTGGTGAGTAAACCCCAGTGGAATCTTAGTAGGGTCCAGTAAAGTCAAGAGGCTATGAGAAGGATTGGGGTCATCTGAAATTAAATTTTGATCTTCCTGCCTCTTTTTACTTGGTTACAGTGGAAATAAAATTCTGCAGCAGTAATGAAGAATATTGACTATCAATAGGCACTGGGCCTGTTCTTGGACTTCAAACTCTTGGACTAATTTTTATTAATTAGATTAAAAGTAGAAACAAATTGTGCACAAAGTATCACACTTGAATTTCAATAAACATTCATATTTACAAATAAAGTACTTGATTGCTCACTGCCTGCCATGCTGTATAGTTGCTGATAACTATAACAAATGGATATGAAATGTTACCAGCTTAGAATTGCTGGTATTTATGAAGTTCACTTTCTGTATAAATGACTTTCAGAAAGTATGAGGCTTTGGATAATCAATACCTGCCTTATTTTTTTTTCAGTTCATGCAGTGTGCATTTTATATATTAACTATAAAATGAATGTATCTACCTGTATTTCAGTAGCTGGACTTAGAGTGACTGAATATCACAACTGTAAAGGAGTGACTGATCTGACAGTGCTTTTTACACAAGCATGTTGATATCTGTGACTGTAAGTAACAGTAATTCTTACATATAAGCTGCTTTTTTTTCCCCTGTACTGTAGTATATACTTATACAGACACTCACACAAGTATAATTCAGTATTGTCACGTGAAAAAAATAATGCATTATCTTTTTTATGCAGTACATAAATTATGTTTGTGTTTTATGTTTTATTTATTTTGACAGGTAAAAAAGTGTGCTGCCTAGCTGTATAGTACTGTAGGCTACTCAGCTGTGCACCATTCCAAGTGCCTTAGAAAAGTGTTTAGCGTTTTGAATTATAGATATATATGAATGAATGCATATAAATAAAAAACGAACGTTATCTCAATAAAATTGTTCAGAAAATCTTTATAGAAAACATTTCCTTCTTGAACCTGTAGCAAGTCATGGGTGTGTGTGAGGGACTAAACTGCAGAGAGCAGTTATTTGTTGGAAGGTGGTCTCCAGAGACTGAATTGAAAGTCATTGAATGCAAATGAAGTGAAGGTGCTTAAACCTTCCAAGTTGATTGGAGATGTTAGATGAGATGTTAAATACAGGGAGGTTAGTACAGGAGACTCCTCACCTGAGCCTGAGGAGCAGTTCTTTACACCCCGCGTGGTTAGCACAGGGGCCTGGCGAGCCATGAGGCCTGGTTTATTTTGCACCCCTTGGACAAAGGCTGAACAGAACAGCACAAACTGCTCGTAACAGTTTGACTGTTCCAGTCCCACCGCCCAGGTCACCGGGCTAAAAGGCAGCTCAGCTCCGTCACCGCCTGTGCTGCATCGGGGTGCCACACGCAGGGAGTTAGTCCTGCTTGAAGCAGCCCTGCAAAGCCCTTCACAGCACCCAGCCCGGGACGGAGAGCTCCCAGGCTCCCTGGGGTGGGAATTAAAACAGCCACCATAGATTTTCAAGAAGCAAGAGAAAGGGAGACTCTGGGCTTTTCTCAGAAATAAGCAGGGGTAATTTGAATCCCCAGAACACAGAAGTCATTGATGGTGCAGATCAGATTATCTCATCCACTTCTTTAGGATTAGTGGRGTGAACCTGATCTTGGAGCTCCAAGACTTCAGAGAACAATAAAATCTGTATTATTTTGGAGCTTTAGTGACACCTACTGAAAAAAACTGAAATTCATTGAAACACGATTAAAGCTCATTACTGTTTTAAGGTGTACATCTCTGCRTGGTTGGATATATACACATAGCATGTGGAACAGTTATTTCAAAAATACTGTTTCTTAATTTATCAGTAAGTTATCTCAAAAGCTGTTAACTTGCCTACATGCACGGAAGAAACTGCTCCCTTTTTGAGGTTTACACTTTCTTTGAGATAAAACGGTTTTACCTAAGAGCCCTGAAACCCCAAGCGCGTTTGTTTCGTGGCAGAGAGTGCGCGTTTGCGCGCGCTGGTGCGCGAGCGGGGCGCTGGTGCGCGCCGGGCCGCTCCCTGGCACTGCTAACGGTTCATCTAGGGACAAGACAGGGACGGGGTCAGAGCCGCAACAGCCGCGAGCTCCCGCGCGGGGAATCAACACGGGCCTCAACGAACACGGCCCGGCCCCGCTCCGCCCCGCCCCGCTGGGCTGGGCTGGGCTGGGCTCGGCCCCGCCCCGCCTCGCGCCCGCCCCCGTCCGCCATGAGGGGCCGGCGGCTGCGCACGCGCCTAGCCCTTTGCCTCCGCTGACGGGCGGAACCATTCTGCACAATGTTGGGGGGGGATTGAGATGGAAGCATGGGTGCAGAGGGTGGCAGAGGAGTTCCTCCTGCCATTCGGAGGGACTCTTTCATATATAATTTTCTTATCCAGGCTGAGAAAACTYCTGGTGCTGCTGTTGTCGTCACTGAGAACAGCCAAGATGCGCAAAGCGTCCCTCTCCCCCTCGTGGAGAGTGGTTTATCCCAGCACGGCCGCAGCCCGGCCGCGGGGCGGGGCTACGTGAGGAGGCCGCGCATGCGCGAGCGGCCCGCAGCGCCGTCATGGTGAGCTGCGCGCTGGGCCGCGTGGGTTGGGGGGAGTTGTAGCCGTTTAACTGTCACCCGCCCTCCCTTTGCGCTCTTCCCTCCCTCCTCGGCCAGGGGCTTGGGGGTGAAATGGGCCCCTCGGCGGGGAGAAGCGGGGGAGAAGCGGGGCCGGGTGCAGCTGCCGCCGCCGCTCCCTCCCGTGCCGCCTGCCCGGAGCAGC